CTCCTCCTAGGTCCTTGTAAATGTCATGCACCTTCTGTGCACTTTCTGGTTCAATGCGGGTGGCAGCTGATGTGGTGGCAGGGTGGCTGTACTTCCTTTGCAGTCTCTGGTAGGACTTGTGGTGCAGTGCTCGATGCGAAATGTCCATCGCAGAAAAAATGTCATTTATGGCAGATTGTTTTCTGCCAACTGACTGCACAGCCCTCAAAGCACGCACGTTTACCTCAAAGGGGTTCGTTTTTTGTTGCCCGGAGCACCTCGGGGACGACCACGCACTGTTCACTATGCCACAATTGTCACAAAAAAGTTCCATCCTCGCCGCGAGTCCAAGGCAGTGCGTAGTCTCGAGGCGTATCGACCCTTCGTCGCACTTGTTGCACTTTACTGACGAAAGCAGACCGTTCAGCATCTTCTTATTTACAATGAAGAATGTGGAGTCCTTACCGCCGTCATTTTCGTCGCAGCCTTCGCTCAGAAGCTCGAGCTTCCGCTTTGAAGCGGACTTCGATGCTACGGCATCCAAAACATCCCGCCTTGTCTGCGCCCGCTGCGCGATTTCTTCACTGCTCGGAATCTGGGCCGAAACTCGCGATAGAATGTTCGACGCGCGCACGCCCGGAGTTGCAACGGCTGCCGACGCGGTGCCGCAATCGGGTTCGCGAGAGCGTCCATCACGGTCGACGGCATCCGGCGGTCTGACATACGACGATGTGGCACCTTCCACACTCTCGGCCTCACAACAATCAGCGAAGGGTCTGAGTAGAGGCTCCGTGACGCTTGAAGAGCATGCTCCGTCCGGAACTGCGACTGGGACGGCAGCCGCAGTCGTCTGCCCTTTGTTCCAAGCTTTCCGACGCTTGCCGTACTTGTGGACGCTCCGGAACTTTTTTTGCGGCAACATAGCACCGCCGTATGAGCAAGCACTCAGAAGAGACCACCGATGTAAACAAAGCTTGGTAAAAAAAGCACGCGAACTATCACAAAACAGCAAACTGGCAAAAACGAAGCGCACGCCGGATGATTCTCGGCACGGCGGCCGCAGATGCGCTCGCGCTTCCAAGGTTGCCAAGGTGCGCGGCGCAGCTTTGACCAGTAAGAGGTCGCGCCTGCTACCACGTGATCCGTGCAGCCAATTGCCGTTCTTCGTTTTCGTTTTTTTACTTGCTCCTCGCGCTTTTATTTTCACTCGGCGAAATACGAGACCGCGACCATCGGGAAGCCGGCTTTCTCCTCTTTCCAAAGCTACCAAAATGGCGGCCCACAGTCAACAACTTGGCGCGTTTGTGCGGCGTGAACAACACCGTTTCAGGGGCTTTTTTTTCGCACTTTTCGGCGACTAGCCTCGGCAAAAACACTATTTGCGGGATTTGTAGCGCACGTTTCGCTGTAATATTTTAGAACAAGGAAGTTGAAGGTCTGAAGATTACGAAAAAAAATAAATCAGAAAATCGCATATTTTGACCAAAATCGGCACTTTACTTGCCGCGCCCCCCCTTAAACAAGGTGACGCAGAAAGACGTCTATCCATTACCGCGCATCGACGACGCCCTTGACAGCTTCCAAGGAGCCGAATTCTTCTCCTTAGACTTGCAATCTGGATACTGGCAGGTTCCTATGGCAGAATCTGATCGCCAGAAAACTGCGTTCATTACACCAGATGGCCTGTACGAATTTAACGTAATGCCATTTGGGCTTTGTAATGCTCCTGCCACATTTGAACGACTCATGGACAACACACTGCGTGGACTGAAGTGGTCTGTGTGTCTATGCTACCTCGACGGCATTGTCGTTTTCTCTCCCGATTTTTCTACACATCTGCTTCGGCTCCAACTGGTTCTGGCGTGTTTAACCAACGCTGGGCTCCAACTGAACCTCAAAAAGTGCCGCTTCGCCGTGCGAGAGCTGTCCATCTTAGGGCACATCGTGTCCAAGCATGGTGTTCGACCCGACCCTGCAAAACTGCGAGCAGTTGCTGAGTTCCCGAAACCTACAACACTGAAAGAATTACGCAGTTTTGTCGGACTATGCTCGTACTTCCGGCGCTTCGTGCGAAATTTTGCATTGATCATGTCACCACTGACCAACCTTCTACGCGGTGATGCAGCCCTTTCATCCTGGTCTTCTGACTGCGACGTCGCGTTTGCCACGCTCCGTAGTCTGCTAACATCTCCTCCAATTCGTCGGCATTTCGACCCAACGGCTGCAACGGAAGTTCACACAGACGCTAGTGGGGTTGGTCTAGGCGCCGTCCTCGCCCAAAGCAAACCGGGCTACTCCGAATATGTCGTCGCTTATGCGAGTCGCACACTTACTAAAGCTGAGGCCAATTACAGCGTCACTGAAAAAGAGTGCTTGGCGCTAGTGTGGGCGCTTCGCAAGTTCCGCCCTTATCTGTACAGTCGCCCATTCGACCTGGTAACGGACCACCATGCACTTTTTTGGCTCGCCACATTGAAAGATCCTTCTGGCCGCCTAGCTCGGTGGGCACTGCAAATCCAGGAGTACAACATTCGTGTCATCTATCGCAGCGGACGCAAGCATTCTGACGCCGACGCCCTGTCGCGTTCGCCTTTACCTCCCGACTCGGCCTGCGGAACCACTGGTACCGACTCCGTCGCATCTCTCGACCTCGACTCCTTTACCAGTGAACAACACAAGGACCCGTGGATCGCTTCCCTTTTTAACTGTCTCTCTGGATCGTCAACCACTGCGGTACCACAATCTCTCCGACGTCAAGCTGCTCATTTCGCCATTCGGGATCGGCTGCTACACCGACGCAACTACGCCCCCGAAGGTCGTAAGTGGCTCTTGGTTGTTCCGCGCAGCTTGCAATCACAAATCTGCGCCTCCTTTCACGACGATCCCCAATGTGGTCATGTCGGAGTTTTCAAAACTTACGAACGCATTCGCCATCGCTTCTACTGGCGCGGAATGTATAATTTCGTTCGAAAATTCGTTATGTGCTGCCCTGACTGTCAACGCCGCAAATCACCGCCTTTTTACTCGTCCGGTGCGCTTCAACCGCTTCCGTGCCCTGCGAAACATTTCGATCGGATCAGAATTGATCTCTATGGCCCTCTACCGACAACATCAGATGAAAATCGGTGGATCATAGTCGCTGTGGACCATTTAACACGCTACGCTGAGACCGCCGCCCATCCAAGTGCCACTGCGCGGGACGTAGCATCCTTCATCCTTCATCGCTTCATACTACGACATGGTGCACCTTGAGAACTACTAAGCGACCGAGGTCGAGCCTTCCTATCAGAAGTCGTCACGTCTCTGCTTTCTGAATGCCATGTTGTTCATCGCAAGACCACGGCATACCACCCGCAGACTAACGGGCTCACGGAAAGATTTAACCGCACCCTTGGCGATATGCTCGCCATGTATGTGACATCCGATCATACAACTGGGATCGCATTCTTCCATTCATCGCGTTCGCATATAACACCGCGGCACAGTCTACCACTGGATTTTCACTTTTCTTTCTTCTTTATGGACGCGAACCATCCCACACCATCGACACTCTCCTTCCATACCGTCCTGACGCATCCGAATGCCCATCTGTGTCCGAAGCTGCCCGAAATGCGGAAGAGTGCCGTGAACTCGCACGCACCTTTACGTCACAAGAACAACAGCGCCAGAAAGAAAACAACGCCGACTCTTCACAAAGCCCCAGCTATTCCCCGGGATCACTTGTATGGCTGGCTGTTCCTTACCAAACCCCCGGCATTTCCTCAAAACTCGTTCCAAAGTACGAGGGCCCATACCGCGTTTTGGAGCAAACCTCGCCGGTGAATTTTATCATCGAGCCACTTTCCCTATCTGACGACAAGCGCCGGCATGGACGCAAAATTATACACAAAATTTAAAAGCTATATGCTATGCGGCGGAGGAGATAACTTGAAGATGTAAACAAAACAATCTCGTGAATTGCTACGGATGTCTCAGGCTGACGCAAAACATCGTCACCATTAAATTTGAAACTGAGGTTCTGTCATCCACTAAATCTCTGCTCGTTCTGACTCAATTCAGGTGGAGTCTTAAGACATTTTCAAGCAGCACGTCTGTTTTGCAGCTGCTGATGCACACCCATGCACACGTGACGACCGCGTAATAGGAACAACCAGTGACACTAGATGCGACCCTGTGTCTGATATAACGATACAAGTAAAACCAATGTGGCTGGAAACTGGCTGTGAGAGCCACTTGCACACTTTATACATGCCGCGGACCTTGGGTAATATATTTTTTTTGTAGAATTAATTTTTCCTGACCCCTAGCAACAGCTCTTTCTTGATTAGCCGGCATAATTGTTCCGACAATATTACTGCTCAACTCGGTCAAATTGCGCAGCTGACGCATCAATTCGCTATTAGGCTTGCAAAGTTTACGGAACTTCGATGTTACTGTAGCATAATCACAGGGGGCACGCACTTCTGTCATGTTTGCCTACCTAGTGCATTTTTCCAACTATACACGCACATTGGTTTGCGCAAAAGTCTAAAAAAATCGCTATGTTTCCCAAGTCGGCTAATTCAAGAAAGTTCTGAAAGTTGACTGGCTGGACTAACTACTAGAAAGCACTGGGTGCATGATAAAGACATTTAACATGCCGAAATCGGTGACCTAAAAGCGTCGATCACTGGTGATCGATATGAATAGGCAGGGTAACGAAACGAGTCAATTCATTCTACAAGCATGGCATGGCATTTTACGAAAGGTGTGTTCTGTCCGTGATATTTAATAAGCAGAGTTGTTTGTAGTTACAGGAACCAGCTTACTGGGCACCACCAACACTGCCAATGAGGTGCATCCAAATCTCATTATAACAAAGTTGCATTTGACACGAAACTAATATTTGTAACTTCATGACTTCTTGTAACCAATAATTCATCATGTCGTTTACCGACGTAGCCGAGGGCCCTTTGCTTGTAAATATTTTCTGCACAGGTGTGCTCGTTTGTAGCATCTCTTTTTTGTCTCGAACCCTCCAGGACATGGACAGCGATCCAGTGCAGCTGTCGTTTGCCAAGAACGGCAGGCACCTCGGCACTGCCTTCGAGATCTCCAAGGAGACACTCAAGGGCAGGCCGCTGTTCCCCCACGTCCTGGCCAAGAACTGTGCCTTTCAGTGCAACTTCGGGCAACTGGTGAGTATGCAGAGCTTGTTATTTGTCTTCGCAAATGTTGAATTAGTGTGTGTGTGCTTTTTTGTGTTTGCTACATTGGCTGCATTTCCGTCATCTTTCGTGCGGTGTTCTCCGCCTGCTTTATAACAAATTTTTTTGTTCAGCAAGGTATGGAGGGAATTAGTTTGGTTGGCTAGTGCATTTGCCGTGTATTAGTTAGCGGCTCTTTGTGGAATATTCTACTGCTTGTACTAAGGTTCGTACAGGTCCTTAAAATCCTTGAAGACCTTTGAATATCATGAATGCATTTTCAAAGCCCCTGAAAGTACTGGAATTTTTTGCCATCCTTGAAAGTCCTTGAATTTCCTGAGCAGTGCACCCTCATATCGACATTGCGACCTTCAAAATGTGGTACATCAGTGTGTGAACCTGTCAAACCCCCCTTTCTGAAGCAGTAATGTGGCGTACGTGCACATGATCCCATTGGGAAAGGTTCATGTGTAAAAAAGTTAGTTTCTGGTGAGGGTGAAGCAGTGAATGTGATAGGAAGAAATCGGAATGTCACGCGAAGAAGGGCAAGCCACCACATACATGCAACGCGCCGCTCAAGCACGAAAGAGGCACGAAAAGAAAGCGCACAGGGCGAGTGCTAATGAACGACTGTCATAGCTCGACACTAGAAGTGTGCTGCTTAAACAAACACAAGAACGGTGCTAGAAAAGAACACACATTTATCCACAAAAGAGTGCAAATTAACCACTGTCACAGTTGTTACTTTTGGTGTTTCAGCAACGTGCTGCGAGTGTCAACTGTGCACAAGCCGACACTTTCGTTGGGGTGGTGCCATCAAATTTCAAGGCTATAGCAAGCACCGTGTGGGTTTAAGAATATATTTTAAGTCACTTCCCAAGTGTACCTAAATGCTCATTCTCCTAGTCGAGGCCCATCGCAAGCCCGCCCAACACTGACGTAGCTCTATAGGAAGGGCAACAAAAGTTCTAGTGACATCACACCAGATCTGTAGTCAGCTGAGTGACCTCCGGACTTCAGCCTCCTACATACTGGCAAAGCATCGTGGCTGCTGCGGGTAGCGGCGAGTTTGTTTTGCAGGTGCTTGTGTGGCACATGTGTGCGAGAGCTTACAATACTCAGAATGACTTGTGCAAAGCTTTGTGATCAGGTGACCAAGTCAGCTACGCTGCTATGTACCTGCAAGACTCCGTCCCCACAAACAGGAACTGAAAATTGTCCCTATCAAAAAGGTGACAAGTTGTATAGTGAGAACAAATGAATATTGGGGCGTGTATTGTGCTTATTGGAGCTATAAATAAAGCTTGAAGCAAAGAGCGCGCAAGCCACAAATATTATGGCACAACCCCTTTAAGGCCTGACACATGAGCGTTGAAGCCCATCAGCACGTAATTTTCCGACATGACATCGTGCCTTCTCCCTATAGAGATGGTGCGAGAACTTATAAAAGCTACACTCTTTTTTTATAAATGTGATATTCATATATTGTAAGTGCAATAAAACTGGTCATTTTTTAAAATTTTAGAGTGAATCATTTCAGCTTCGCATGCTGCTTTGAGTCCTTGAAAAACTTGCAACTGGTTCTGGAAAGTCCTTGAATATCCTTAAATTTCTGCTTTGGAAACCTGTACGAGCCCTGCTGTACAAAATCGGAAAGGCAAGATCCAAAGAACGATAAATGTGTGATCGTGTGTGTGTGTGTGTGTGTGTGTGTGTGTGTGTGTGTGTGTGTGTGTGTGTGTGTGTGTGTGTGTGTGTGTGTAAACGAGTTTGGAACGCAGCCTATTTTGGGTCTCAGAGAAATTTCGATATGGTGATGCGCAACTGTAGTACACTCAAACCTCGTTATAACGAAGTTGAAGGGGAGCCACAATTGTTTCATTCCATTATTTCGTTACACATATCCATTATTTCGTTACATCGATTATAGCAGTGTGTGGCAATGTATGCTCAGATGGGCGCACACCTATAAGCATGCAAAAAAGGAAACCGCTTCGCGGCCCAATGTACTGCTACACCACCATGCGTGCGACGGAAAATAAATGCAGTCGAATCGCATTCATTCTAACTCGCGCTGTGGTCCCGTCAAAGCTATGTGTATTCCAATGGGCAGAAACGCCCTGTAATTTGACGCGCAAGCACTTGCAGCAGTCAATTCAAACATACCGCACTCAGAAAATGCTTTCAGCACCATGCCCAGTCTTGTGGCGGTACCTCTCAACGCTGCGCGCTAAGAAGGAAAAGAAAAAAAAAAAGAACGAAAAGACTGTGACGGATTGTTTGCTATTTCGCTCTCTCTCAAATGCGATCTGCGACGTGCCTGTACCACGCTCCTCCCTTTTCTGTCTCTACACGTAGAGATCCTTCTTCTTTTAAGACAACGTGGGGAGAGAGAGGAAAAAGAAAGAAAGCTGTTGGCTCTCTCTCTAATGCCGGTGTGCTTCTCTCCGCATGGAGACTCTTCTCCTTTTTCGGTGCAGAGGGTAGTGGCGAAGATGCAATCGTTGCCATAGTCTTTAGAGAGTGTTGGCGCTGGACTTAGCTGCGTGCTACTATGCTTTGCAAACTGCATGCGAAATTGACTTGCTGCAAGGCAAACGTGTGCAGACGCGCATCACCGATTACTTCAATTAATGACTGATGTCTTCTGATTTGTGAATAAATGCAAGTCTTATGAAGCTTTTCCGTGTGTTCTTAAGCGAGAGGGAAATCGCTTTGCACCGTGGCGCCGCTTCTCTGTTATGTGACCCGCTTAGCGCTTCTTAAATCCTCTCCGCTGGCTTTGTGATAAGGACAGCTCTTTCGATCGCGCGAGGCGTGGCTGCAAGGTCAGCGCGGGAGTTTTGAAAAAGCCGCGCCGAACAAGCGTCTAACTCTGCAAAAAACTACCTAACACAATAGTTTTTTTGATATATATAATATATAGACTATTTGGCAGACTAATTTAGTTTGTTATATTTGTTTACAGGTCAATTTTACTTCGTTATAACGAGGTTTAAAATGCATGGTTCTCAATGGAGCTTTCAAAGGGAATTTTGTTAGATCTTGTTACATTATAACGAGGTTTGAGTGTACACTAATTGTGGCCTTCGGCATTAGCAGCGAGTAGCACTGTCAAAACTTGTTTGTTTCTGCGCTTGCGTTTCAGCCGGAGCCCTGGTTCAAGCCTCCCGACTCAAGCTACACATTCATCGGCTGTGTTTCGTTGGACGAGAGGATACGTGGAACAGTTGGACCAAAGAAGAAGTCTGAGTGCGAGGTACGTTTTATGAACAAGCTATGGTGATTGTTTCTTGTATGTGTTTTGCTGTTCTGCAACATGAATCAGTTGACTGTGATGTTGCCTAGAAATCTACCTTGAAGCAATTTAGATAGGGGAAGCACTGTCATCCAGTAGCTTGCAGCAAGATGCTGCGAGCAAATACCAATTTGCATGCGGAAATTTGTATTCAGACTAATTTCTTTGCTTTTTAATAAATCTTTGTGCTGTTAACGATCAAATCACAATTTTGCCTTGATGTGAAATTGCATCTAATGCGAAGGCCTCTGCAGAAATTATTGATATACAGAATTGCAGCCCCACTTCAAACAAAAAATATTCGTGTGACCGTGAAAGTATACATTGGTTAAATGACACAAAATAGCACTTACAACTAACGTCTCCGAGAGCCGCCAATTGGTTACAGCGAATCCACTCTGCCGACTTCCCGGAAAACTACTCTGCCTCCGCCCCCCTCTAGTTGCCGTTCTCTTCGACCACTTTTTGTTACGTGTTCTTCCATCCTTTTTCCCCCCATTACTCTGAGCACCCCGCATTGCAAGACGCAGCCCGTGTTTTCACACTGTCGCCCATCTTTCGAAGACCGGTCGCTGGTACTGTCGTTGACGTCACCGGCCTGGAGAGACCAGACCATTTGCCAACGCTGTCTGTATCTGAACGTCTGCGTCTTGTCTTATCGTATCGTATCGTTTTAGTGCATGTGCGTACGCTACCCCACCCACTTTGATAATTCGCGATTCTTTTCGTGTATTGAGAAAGTTGTTTTTCCAAAGCCACATTGTCCCTTAAGTAGCAAGATTTTCTCTGCCATGCAACTAGAATTGGGAAGTAATTTTTGTAAGTAATTTTTGGCTCCGAGGCTGAACCTTCCTGCACAAGTGAGCGAACCGTTTTTTTCGCAGATGATCATGATGTGTGGACTGCCCGGTTGTGGCAAAACGACATGGGCCAACGAGTACACGTCCAAGTTTCCCGAGCGCAAGTACAACATCCTTGGCACCAACAACATCATTGACAAGATGAAGGTGGGTGGCTGTTGGATTGGCTTGTTCCTGGCAGCAGGAACTTGCTGCTTTCGATTTTTCCTTTGCATGTACTGTTGCCCTGTTTACTTAGTCTTAGCAGGTCTGATTATGGTACATCATGTGTACAGCTCGGAATGCTTATAGTGCATATCGCTGGTGTTGAGAAAATGTGCATCATTAATGGTACTACAGCATGACCTCATTACAACGAACTTCCATGGTGAAGAGGATTTTGTTGTGTTGTAAAAGGAGAATGTAAAATCCAAGTATGGTTACAACAGACTTCTGTGTTGCGGGAATTGAAATGAGGTTTCAACGGATTTTGAGAATTTACGGTGAATTGCAAGCCGCGTGCTGCGCTATGATATTTGGCCCTTGTGTTCTCGGTAGCCTCAACTACTGATCGGCATTGTTTCTTTTACAATGCTCAAAAAGTGTTGCAGGGCCCATTCAACATTAAAGTGGGGCTTTGCACGCCTTTGCACAACTTTTACAGGCGGTTACATGCTCATTTCAGTCGAGCCCTCATTTAACGGTTCCACTTAAAACTAACTTTCGCTTAAAAAGAACAATACAGTAAAAGCTCGTTAATTCGGATTTCACGGGACGGGAAAACTGTCCGAATCAGCCGAATTTAACGATGAACAGGGAAAACAACATTTAAAATCAAGCTGTAGAAGCATACCTTTATTTGTTGAAGTATTTTGTAATTGTCGTCTGCGTTTTCGCGCAGGTTTCGGCTGACATTACAATTTTTCTTAACTGTTCCAAATGGCCAACAGCACGCAAGCTGTCGGGAGTGTTCAGGCAAGCGTCCTCTAATATTAACAGCGCCTCCGAGACTTCCCGTGAGGTGTGATGAGGTCGCGGCTGTATCTTCTTGCATGATTCTTCGTCGGAATCGTGGTTTTCATGGGCGTCCGTGACATCATTAATAATCTCTTGATCGGTCAGGAGACCACTCGTGGCGACACCGTGATCAATCGCGATGTAGTCCTGAAAGGTCACATCTGTGGGAAGGACAGCATCGAAAGTCGGGCAGTGATCGTCGGTGGACTCGGCTGACACCTCCTCGATGCCATCGTCAGCTACTGCTGCATGCTCGGGGCTCACAAAACCGCTGTGCCGAAAACAGTTGGCGATGACTTGCAGCAGAGTGTTTTTACACAGGTGGGCGATGATGTGCACTGCGCCGAGTAAGTCCACTTGATACAACTTTCCAGCTTCTGAGCATAGGATCATTCACTCTAGCAGGTGCTTGTGGTACTTCGACTTCACGTAGTGAATGATACCCTGGTCCATCGGCTGAAGAGCAGACGTAGCGTTGGGCGGCAAAAAAACTACTTTGATGCTCTTCAGTTCGACTTTACAGTTATGGGCACTGCAGTTGTCAATAACCATAATTATCTTGCGGTCCTTCGACGTGAAGTGCCGGTCCAACTGCTGCAGCTAGCCGCGAAAAATATCTGATGTCATCCAAGCCTTCCTGTTCGCTGTGTACTCGACAGGAAGGCTTTTGACGTTCTTAAAACAGCGTGGCTTAAGCGCCTTCCCGACGACAAGTAGTGGCAAGCGCTCCGTGCCAGTCATATTGGCGGCAAGAAGCACAGTTATCCTTTGCTTGCACTTCTTGCCACCAATGCACGCGTCTTCTTTGAAAGTCACCGTCTTTTCGGGCAGAGCTCTGAAAAATAGAGCAGTTTCATCTGCATTAAATACGTCACATGGTTCATATGCGACGATGTGCTCCAGCAGCTTCACATTTCTCCACTCCGTGGTCACGCTTTCGTCAACACTGGCCTTTTCGCCGCACACACTCCTGAAGACAAGTTAGTGTCTCTCTCGAAACCTCGCAAACCACCCTTCTGACGCTTTGAACGATTCAATGTTCATCATTGCAGCGTACTTCTCACCTTGTGCCATGATGAGAGGTCCGCTCAAAGGCAGATGCGCGTTGCAACAGTCAGTAATCCACCGGAGCAAAGCTTCTTCGCGCTGGGGATGAGCTGCGGTTCGCAACCGCTTTCTAGAGGCATGAAACTTCTCGCTTTCGAAGGCTTGTCGAATCTGTTGTTCATTTTTCACGTACGTTCCCAACGTGCTCCGCTTCACGTTGTACTTGGTCATAACCTGCTGTCGCGATTCGCCGTTCATTCAGTGCTTCCAAAATTTCCACTTTAGTCTCCAAGTTCTTCGCGTCGTAGTTCTGCCGCTTTTTCGGCGTTGCCATCACTGTAGCGCACGATAGTGGTGGCATGCAAATACGGTCACAATGGAAAAAAAAGAGAACTCCGCAAGAAGAGATGGTTCCGACATGACAACACAAGGGAAAATGGCGTCGGAGGCGCTGAGTGGAGAAGAAAGAAGACGCCGACGTTCGGTGACACTGCGATCGCCCCCACTAGTTGATGATGATGGCGATGCCACTCAGGTTTCAGGTCAGCATTTGTCCGAATTAAGCGGTGCGGAGCCGAATTCTGACGAAATAACGAAGGTTTGGTCCCATAGATTAACATGCACTTTGGCCGGGACCAATAGAGCCGTCCGAATTATCCGAATTAGTGTCGAATTAATGAGCTTTTACTGTATCCGCATGACCGTGAAAGTATACATTGGTTCAATGGCACAAAATCGCACTTACAAAGAACGTCTTCGAGCGCCCCCGATCGGTTACAGCGAATGGAGTCAGCGGTCTGCCAACCTTCTGGGAAATCACTATCGACCACCGATCAGGCATCGGCGAGGTGCCCATACATTCTTATTGTTAAACACGAACCCTGCTTTCGCGACCCTCTAGTTGCCGCTCTTCCCGACCCATGGAGCCTTCCTCCATGCCCCGACTGCTTTTTGTTACGCACCCTTCCGTTCTTTGGTCCCCGCTACTCTGAACACCCCGCATCGCTAGACGGGGCCCGTGTTTTCACACTGCCGCCGATCTTTCGAAGACCTGTCGACCATCTACCCTGTTTTTGATCGCTGGTGCTGTCATTGGCGTCGCCAGTCTGGAGTGACCAGACTTTTTGCCAAGATCGCTGGCCACCGACTGCATCCGATAGTCTGCATCTAGTGCACGCCCGTACGCTATCCCACCGACTCTGATAATTATGCGATTCATTTTGTGTTTAGGACTTGTTCTTGCTCACTTCGCAGTCGACTCAGCATGCCTTTCGTGCTCGTGTGGAAGCGCGAGAACGGCTGTTGATTTGCACGGAACGAATTGCGAAATATCAAAGTTCGTGAGGCCACGCAGACCCTCCAGCGCAACAAAATGACTTTTTGACCACGGCCGCCGATTCTTCGAACACCGCCGCGCGCACTGGTCTAGGCGGTCGTGCTTTGACTTCTGCGCGCACAGGCACTCTCAAGTTTTGATATTGTGATTCCATAATGACGTGCACGCAACAAGTGTCAAAAAACATGCACGAAACGTGGTTTTCGATGCAGACGAACGCGGCGGCTCCTCTTTATTGTCGTGACAGCACCCGATGGGGAGCCTCCTTGCAGCGTGACAGCCGATCGGAGGCCCCGTTTCATAAAAACGGCCCTCGGATTGCCTGTATGACCATGTGCATTTTTTTCTTTTTGCGCGTTTTTTCTTTGCCGGTGACGTTTGGAGTGCGTGAAAGCGGGAAGGCGAAGTATGGACGTCTCGAAGAATACCAAGATGGCGACCATCGGTGGCGCGAGAGGTGAACACTTGCTTTGTGAACATCGGTGTTTTTGTGCGATTTTGAGCCTCTTTCTCATCGATCACGCTGACAAACTTATTTTTTTCGGCTGTTTGGGGTTGGTTTTCAGCCAAGTTTTGTTTGGTACGGCATAGAATCAGGCACTGCAGATGCCGAAATGAGTTACCGTAATTACTCGAATCTAACGCGCACCTTTTTTCCGGTTAAGCGAGTTCATAAGTCGCATGCGCGTTAGAATCGAGTACGAACGAAAAAATTCGGTCAATCTATTGCCATCGGCAAATCCAAAATGGCCGCCCCCTACGTGCGTCGGCATGGCGCGTCGGCCATTTCTGCCTATGTGTTTCCCATGTGCGGCACTTCGTACGTGTGCTGAGGAGTTCGTCATCTAGTAGTGCATTAGCATCGACGGCGTGGAAGGGCCGACTCCAAAAACTCGAGTGCACCACGATGCCGCTTTTAAAAGAAAAGTCATCGCGTGTGCAAAAACGGACAGAAATCAGGCCGCATCGTGGTCGTTCGGAGTTTCGAAACGTGCGTGCAGGGCCGGCGGAAACAAAAGCAGAAGATTGTCGACAGCAAAGCTTCAAGAAAAGGCTTCAGTGGACCACAGCAAGGTCGGTTTCCGCAAATAAAGAGCTGCTCGGCGAGTATGTGCTTGAGCAGAGAGCGGCACAGCGGCCCGTGACGACAGAACTGCTCCAAGTGCGGGCTATGCAATTAGTCTTAGAAAAAGGTCTAATGCGGAGCCAGTTTAAAGCGAGCAGGTGGTGGCTAACTAACTTTATGAAGAGGTAAGGCTTTTCCCTCCGAAGGGGAACATGCATATGCGAAAAGTTTTGCAGTGGAGTACGATGAAAAGCTTCACAGTTTTCAGAGGTTCGTCCTAAACTTGCGGCGCAACAACGGCTACCTGCTTAGGCAAATCGGGAATGCTGGTCAGACGCCTCTTTACTTCGACATGCCTGGCACCACAACCGTCGAGAAGAACGGGGCGAAGCAAGTTCGCGTGCTGACATCGGTCCACGGTAAAACTACAGTGACGGCAACACTCTGTTACACGTCAGATGGGCACAAGCTTCGCCCGTACCTCATATTTAAATGGAAGACGCTCCCGAAAGGAGTCGTTTTTTCGAGTGGTGTGATCGTGCGGGCCAGTGAGAAAATGGGTGCGCGTTGCAATCGATGTCTTACTTTTTTTTTTTTTTTTTTCGCGGTGGAAATCGGGTGCGCGTTACAATCGAGGGCGCGGTAGAATCGAGTAAATACGGTATTTCCAAAAATTCATTTTTTTGGCAATTTTCGCTATCTGATTCCCGCGTCCCCCCTTACATGAACTCAAGACCGCCCTTATTGCTTCTGCTCTCATGCATCACGGACTTTTTCGGGCAAAAAAGTTTGTTTTTTCAGTCGCAACTTTTTTTAAAAGCTGTTTCATTACTGCCAACTTCGGGAGTCAACGAACGGATGCCGCGTCACGCTCAGGTTCGCTATAAGCGGGCTCGACTGTATTATACACCTATTCATTCATTCTGAATACTTCGAATTTTTTAACCATTTAAACTCGAATACTCTACTATTAGTTCAAATATTCGCTCGCACAAGCTTACTGATAAGGCAAGTAAGATTGCGTGTGCCAGGTTTCAACCAGCTTTGTGCATCACTCAAGGATAGTCATTACACTTTTGATGTAGGTGATGGGCCTGCCGCGAAAACGCAACTACTCAGGCCGCTGGGACGTCCTCATCGAAAAGTCCACCAAGTGTCTCAACAAGTTGCTCGAGATGGCCTCCAAGACTCCGCGCAACTATATTCTTGACCAGGTGAGTTGGGCGCGTTGGTTTCACCAACCCTTGACAGGCTAACATGTTTTCCACCACCTTTTCTGAAGTCTTCACGTGCTGCTAGCTACTGTGTCTGTGTGTGTGTACACACTCCTGACTTCGTCAAGAAACGGCTGGCCAGTGGCTTAACCGGGGGTGTTTGGGCTTTTTCTGCGCGGTGCCTCGTTTCAGACCAATGTGTACCCGACGGCACAGCGGCGCAAAATGCGCCCCTTCGAGGGCTTCAAGCGTCGAGCCATAGTCATAGTGCCCACAGATGAAGAGTTCATCAGGCGCTGTCAAAAGCGAGAAAAGGAAGAAGGGAAGGATGTGCCGGACATTGCCGTCCTTGAGATGAAAGGTGCACACTTGTTCTCGTTCGTTCACTCTCTCTCGGGGAAACTGCCTCCTGAGGCAATGTACTTCGCCTGCTATTGCACAGTAAAACCAGAATGCTGGTTGCTGGTATTCACATGTGGCAAGCTGATGTAATGCATAATTTTTTATGATGCATTATATCAGATGTTTCTTGCATACCATTGGCATGTAGCGAAATCTAGTCATAGATTATCTCATGTGACATTGCTGTAACAAGGTTTGGCACATCTTGTAAGCGTCCTTGAGAGTTGGGTGCCCAAGGTTGAAACAATCTCTTGCAAACGTTTTATAGACCTTACCAAAATGCAGTCGTAAAGTATGGTAAGTGATGTGCCTGTTGCTCACAATACTCACCACGGGTGCGTTTGGTGCTTTCAGTTGTAGCGGTAGGATGCGGTCATGTGTGACTTTTTCAAACTTGGGAACCCACATCTCTTGTAAATCTGAAGGCTTTCCCACATTATTTGTTTGTGTCAACAAATCTATAGGGTCGAAGGTGTGCACTTGGTACTCGAAGTGTCAAGTTTACAGGGTGATTAGCTAGTTGCAATTGAGCTTGTCAGTCGTGGCTGTGGGTTGCTATGGGATTTGTCTGCGTGCACCTTTCGCAAGAGGGCAGAGGCTCAATTCTAGATCTCTGTTGTGAACGTCACGTCACTGCTGATGCATGCGTTAACGGCGGTCTCCCGTGCCTCGCTTCTGTGTGTTGCTGTGTACGCAGCCAACTTTGTGATGCCCGAGCAAGGGAGCCTGTTTGATGAGGTGATCTTCACGGAGCTCCCACGCGAGGAGGCAGAGCCTCTTGTGAAGAAGTACAACGAAGAAGGTCGGGCAGCGTGCGGACCCCCGCAGCAGCGCTTCCGGCAGGGCGGCGGCAACGACAACAACCACCGTGGTGGTGGTTTCGGCGGTGGTGGCGACCGGGGCGGATTCAGGCCTGGTTTTCGTGGTTAGTCATACATTTTGTTCTTTAAAGTTTGGCGCGGGTCGAAAAGTCGCGGTTTTCTGGAAAATTTTGGCGTTTTTTTTTCTCCTCGGTTTTATTGGCATCCTTGGACTAAGATCTTCTACTTCTGAAAATATCAAGCTGAAATTCGTACGAGAAATGATCTAGAAATGGTTCCAAGTGGGGAGCGGTGATGTGAGAAATGCGCGAAGTTGCCAAAAATAGCGTAGTTCGCGTTGTCCTGTCACGAAAACGACTAATTGGCCGGCATTTGCAGTCGTGCACGCATGCTGCGTAGGCCTTCCCCTTCACAATCCACTAGTAGCAAGTCTCGTATCTTGACGAAGAATAAACAAAAAACAAGAAAAACAATGCATACACTACGCATTTTGAATATCGCGGTAAGCATCGCGAGGCTGCCATTGATCGGCAGTTCGCTCCGCCTCCTCCTCTTATCTTTCCGGCAGAAGAGCAAAGCCTCGGACCTCGCAATCGAGTTGTTCGGTGTTTCTCTGCAGTTTTGCGTCATGGCAAGCTTCAAAAGCGCAGTCTAGATGATCGAAATTTCAGAACTTGCCCCAAGTATCGAGGGAAATGGCATCGGGCGCTTCTCAAAGAGATAGCGAATGCCGATGTCACCGCGTACCAACTCTGCTCTGACTTCGGATAGGCCTAACACTGACACCGAACCCTGCGGCGACAGTGGTTGTGAATAGCTGCTGCCGTGGAATTCGTCGGTGCATCCCAAATGAAGAGCGAATTCTTTGAGAGTGAACGTAGACCAGTAGGAGCTGCTACTGCCAACACGCTGCCTAATCGATGCGCTTTGTGGTGGGTGCGCAATGCCCAACCTGCTGCGAACTGAAACTCTGCGTCCGAGAAATAGCTGGAAAGTGCAAAGGGCTTTCAGCATTCCTCGAACTGTGCTGTGAAAATACAGATTGTCCTGTATCTACACTTTCATTCACGCACGCGTCGAGACGTATTACTTCGGCCTGGGACCAAGGGACGACCGCTCGTTTCGACAGCGGCAGCTCGCGAGATAGTTTTGCTGTAAAGGTGAAGGAAATTCTGACATCACTCGCTATAGGCGCAGGCCGTGACCAACTTTCACGATTCTGTGTGATTCTCGGTCTTCCAAGAATTCAGTGCAAGCTGCTTTTCATCGTGCCCCAATTTGGTGCAAAAAAAAAATGGCTTCCTAATAAATAACAACTTTTCTAACTTTCAAACTTAATTTTCTCATTTTCGGTTTTTTTTTTTTTTTTTTTTTTTTTTTTTTGACAATTTCATGTTTTCCGAGTCTACTTAAGGGGGGACGTGGCAAGTAAAACTAATTTTTTTATTAATGTACTGTTTGTGATGAAATTTGGTGTGTGTATGTGGATGATTGTGAGGATTCCAAATATGAAAACCATATTCAAATACCTCTTGTACTTTTTGAGTTACAAGCATAATTATACTAATTAATGCTCTCCACACTTAAAGAGATAATTATTGCTAAATGAAATTATTTTTTCATATTATTATGTTCCCAAAGCATCAACTTGTGCAAAGAAGCTATTAGTTGATTTTTCTAGTTCTTGTAACCATAAATAAAATTTCCAAAACATGGATGTTGTTTTGCGCACACATCGCAGTAATTATAAAATGTGTTCTAAAAATTTTAAATGATGAGTAAGAAGAGAGATAAAGCTTTATTGCACTGCTAAAGGCCTCCTGAGCCTAGTGCAAAAAACGGAACGACTATATCAGTCTTTGTTAGAAAATGACAGATGTTCTAGCGAAGGCAGATAGGCAAAAATCAAGAGTTGAGAAAACTGACTTTGAAAGTTCACTCTTGTTTGTTAGTTCACAACATGCCTAAAACACTCAGAATCCTCCTGAGCAGTAATCCTGAGTTTATGTTTGTGAGGCGGCAGCGGCTCTCCCTTGGCCAATGCCTGATTGTGCGGGCACCAGGAGTCAGTCCCACTTGGGCACAGGTCGTGGTGTGGATCCTGGTCTGTGGATGTTACATGGTAATAAGTGGCCATGATGGCCCTCTCCATGCCAGGAACATCGTTGGGGTGGCTCTTAATGGCCCAGCCATAATAATTCGTCAACTTCTTTATCAGGCCCTGCGTCAGCCGGCCTTTGCCACCCATGCTCAGTCCTCGGCCTTTGGATTTGTGCTCATCAAGAAGGTTGCGCAAGGAAGTGCCCATTCTTTTTTTCACATGGTTCACACACTCCTGTTTCTTAATCACCATGTAGCCATACACCTTGTCTTGCGTGAGGGCAAGGTACGTACGGCTGTCACCGTCGCAGAGCACATTGATGTATCGAAGCTTGTACTTGGTAAACGATCTTTCAAACATGATCCTAGCTGCTTCTACTTCCATTTGGCCTGCATTAGCATCGGTGTTCTTTTGGCACTGTGGCTTGTGTTTCTCAAGCCACTCCTCATAGTTGTCGTCACCAGGCTTGGGGCCAACAGCACAGCCTTGGCAGTAGTGGACAGGACACAGTGGTCCAAGACCAAGCCTGTGTACAGCTCGATTACACAGCCCACGCCAATATGACTTCTGTGCCCCCTCGTCATCCACGTGCCGTCGTAAATGACGTCAATGTTGCCTGGCACTCCTCCTAGGTCCTTGTAAATGTCATGCACCTTCTGTGCACTTTCTGCTTCAATGCGGGTGGCAGCTGATGTGGTGGCAGGGTGGCTGTACTTCCTTTGCAGTCTCTGGTAGGACTTGTGGTGCAGTGCTCGATGCGAAATGTCCATCGCAGAAAAAATGTCATTTATGGCAGATTGTTTTCTGCCAACTGACTGCACAGCCCTCAAAGCACGCACGTTTACCTCAAAGGGGTTCGTTTTTTGTTGCCCGGAGCACCTTGGGGACGACCACGCACTGTTCACTATGCCACAATTGTCACAAAAAAGTCCCATCCTCGCCGCGAGTCCAAGGCAGTGCGTAGTCTCGAGGCAAATCGACCCTTCGTCGCACTTGTTGCACTTTACTGACAAAAGCAGACCGTTCAGCATCTTCTTATTTACAATGAAGAATGTGGAGTCCTTACCGCCGTCATTTTCGTCGCAGCCTTCGTTCAGAAGCTCGAGCTTCCGCTTTGAAGCGGACTTCGATGCTACGGCATCCAAACATCCCGCCTTGTCTGCGCCCGCTGCGCGATTTCTTCACTGCTCGGAATCTGGGCCGAAACTCGCGATAGAATGTTCGACGCGCGCACGCCCGGAGTTGCAACGGCTGCCGACGCGGTGCCACCGCAATCGGGTTCGCGAGAGCGTCCATCACGGTCGACGGCATCCGGCGGTCTGACATACGACGATGTGGCACCTTCCACACTCTCGGCCTCACAACAATCAGCGAAGGGTCTGAGTAGAGGCTCCGTGACGCTTGAAGAGCATGCTCCGTCCGGAACTGCGACTGGGACGGCAGCCGCAGTCGTCTGCCCTTTGTTCCAAGCTTTCCGACGCTTGCCGTACTTGTGGACGCTCCGGAACTTTTTTTGCGGCAACATAGCACCGCAGTATGAGCAAGCACTCAGAAGAGACCACCGATGTAAACAAAGCTTGGTAAAAAAAGCACGCGAACTATCACAAAAACAGCAAACTGGCAAAAAACGAAGCGCACGCCGGATGATTCTCGACACGGCGGCCGCAGATGCGCTCGCGCTTCCAAGGTTGCCAAGGTGCGCGGCGCAGCTTTGACCAGTAAGAGGTCGCGCCTGCTACCACGTGACCCGCGCAGCCAATTGGCATTCTTCGTTTTCGTTTTTTTACTTGCTCCTCGCGCTTTTATTTTCACTTGGCGACATACGAGACCGCGACCATATGGAAGCCGGCTTTCTCCTCTTTCCAAAGCTACCAAAATGGCGCCCCACAGTCAACAACTTGGCGCGTTTGTGCGGCGTGAACAACACCGTTTCAGGGGCTTTTTTTTCGCACTTTTCGGCGACTAGCCTCGGCAAAAACACTATTTGCGGGATTTGTAGCGCACGTTTCGCTGTAATATTTTAGAACAAAGAAGTTGAAGGTCTGAAGATTACGAAAAAAAATAAATCAGAAAATCGCATATTTTGACCAAAATCGGCACTTTACTTGCCGCGCCCCCCCTTAAGGGGGGACGTGCCTTTGAGAATGAACTTTCTTGTTTCTGGTCGGATGATGACGAAAATTGCCACAGACACTAAGAATGGCTTCACTGTGCATCCACAAAAATTTCGAGACGATAGCACAAATACCTAATGAGAGACAAATTATTTTTCAATTGAACCTCGTGGAGGGGCTGGAGGATTTATAAAATGACAAAAATGGTTGGTAATTGCTGTATCCACTGCCAAATGTATGTTGAAGGGGGCTGCGTTCTCAAAATAATATATTTGCAACACTAAAACTTGTAGTTAACGTTTTCTCCAGTGACATTGCAATGAGCACACTTGCACTACAAACAAGAAACTCTATAAAAAATTCTTTAAGGAGTAAAATGAAAAACTAAGATCGCAGCCCCCTGAAGCACAGTTCGAGGAGCATTACAAAATAAACGGAATCAAAATCCGTACAGTGGTTGCCCAGATATCTGCTCCACGAGCTGAGTATAATGCCAAAAAAACAGTATTGAGAAAACTGTGTTTAAAGTTTCAACTTCTTTTTACGTCTCTAAAACACCTAAAGATTGTGATCTTAAGTTTGTCTTGTGATATATGACTCTTCAGGTATCTCGTCTCTGACCAGTGTGCCTTGGTTGGCCTTTTTTTTTCCCCCATAATTTCCTTTTCATGTTTTACAAAGAACAAGTATAGATTTCAAACCAAGTTCTTTGTATGAAGGAGTGGTGTGATAGGTATCACAGAGAAGAGTGTAATTGAATAAAACCATATACTAAAATTATTACACATACTTTTTTGTGCTGATGTTGTAATTAGCATAATTAAGTACTTGATTACAAATATTCACTGAGCTTTTTTTTTATTTGGAGAGAGGTATATTGCATCAGAAAAATGGATCACACCATGACGGCCTATGCCTTCTTTCTAAATAACTAAGTTATGGGCGGAAGACTGATGGCACGGGAATTTCTAGCAGTATAATTAATGACACGAAACGGGCATATAAAAATTCGTGCCCCTGATTCACACATGCTCTTTCGCCGCTTTAGCCGTGAAACGCATCATCATACAGCCGGTTGCGGAAACTCTAATCTACAGCAATTCATTAACCTCGGAACATTCATAGACGTTCGTGGCGATACCAAGCACGGCTCCAAGCACGTCTGAATCGCATCACAAAAGCTTACTGACAGCACTCCATATGACCGTGGGGTGCGCAGCCGCGTGGACAAGTGCAGCCGGCGCGTAATGCACTTGCCGGCGGCGTTCGATGACGATGCGCGAAATGTGTAACCACGAAGACAAAAAATCGGCACGCACTGCACTTAACATTGCATTTTCGAATGACGACGCGCGGAACTGCTAGCCGCTGTTCCGAGCGATCCTTGGCAGTGAAGGGGGGGGGGGGGTGACGAGCTTGACTGTGTTGCCATATACTGACATGGTTACACATATTTCTTGTGCTGAAGTTTTAATTAGCATAATTAAGTACTTGTTTACAAATGATCACTGAATATTTTTTTATTTGGAGAAAGGTTAATTGCATCACAAAACTCGATCACACTATGACAGACCATGCCTTCTTTCCTAGTAACAGGTATGGGCAGAAGACTGGTAGCACAGGAATTCTTAGCAGTATATTTAATGACGGGAAACGGGCATATAAAAATGCGTGCCTCTGATTCATACATGCCCTTTTGCAACTCTAGCCGTGAAACGCATCATCATACAGCCGGTCGCGGAAATGCTAATCTACGAGGCTTTCATTGCCTCAAAACATTCATAGACGTTCGTGGCGATACCAAGCACAGCTCCAAGCACGTTTAATCGCATCACAAAAGCTTATTGACAGCACTCCATATGACCCATCATGAACTTACTTACAGCGCAACACCAGAAAAAATACAGGACACGAAAGGAGTAAAACAGAAAGAAAAGACGGCGCTGTTGTACTCCTTCCCTGTCCTGTATTTTTTCTGGTGTTGCGCTGTAAGTAAGTTCACGATGGATCCTAACCAACTGGCCCAACTTACCGTCTTACTCCATATGACCGTGGAGTGCGCGGCCGCGTGTACAGTGCAGCCGGCGCGTAATGCACTTGTTGGCGGCGTTCGGTGACGATGCGCGAAATGTGTAATTATGATGACAAAAAATCTGCGCGCACTGCGCTTTGCATTGCATTTTCGAGTGACGAAGCACAAAACTGCTAAGCCGCTGTTTTGAGCAATCCTCCGCAGTGGGGGGGGGGGGGGGGAGGAGCTTGACTGTGTGGGCCGGTGCCGATGCGTAAAATGCCCATACGTGGTTCAAAGGAGCTAGCGAGTGATGTGCTTCATTTCTTGTGAAGAATCACGTCGCCACGAGTGCGCTAGCGCGTTGTTCCTGCCCGCAGTCTCGCTGTCAGTTGAGCTGGGGCTAAAGACGACTCCGATGATGCGCCGCGCTCATAGACCGTGAGCCCGCTCGTAGTAATCTAGTTGTGCATCCGGTGCAGCCGCCTATAGTAATCTGATTATGCCGCCGCTTAGAGCTTCGTTGTTTGCGTAGAAGCACGCTGCCACGAGTGCGCGAGCGCGTCATTCTTGCCCGCATTTTCGCTGTCGGCGGAGTAAGGGCTAAAGACTACTTTGATGACGCGCTTGCTCGTAGAAACCTAATCGCGCATCCTTTTACGGCTCCCAACTAAAGTGTAATTATATCCTGAGTGATCATCGAGCCGTGAGCACGTAACAAAGTAGCGATTTTCAAGAGCCATGTCCTCGCGACGCACAAGCGGCAGACGACGATCTCCCGGAGCGAGCATCGGGCCAATGGCGAGGAGAGCTGGGGCAACATGGCGGCCATGGCCGATCGAGGGCCTTGAACCGACCTTCAAACATTTGCTTTTTGTGCGCTTGTTTTTAAAGTGACCAGCTGAAGCGGGAAAGTTGAACACAGAGAAATGCTCTTTTCGATGAGCCCAAGAAGCCGGCTCTCGGCCCCGACATCGCGAAGCTATAATTTTTCAGAAACCACTGTTTTCTCGCGATTTCCAGTAAAAGTTTCGCTACCTAGGTGGGTCAAACGAATTTTCCGAAGCACTTCTGTGCATCCCCTGGCCTCGTGTAGTGTGCCTGTTTGGTGGCTCTATGGTGAAAAGCGCAGTGTCAAGCCAGCCTGTAACTTGTCTCTCTACAGGTGGGTTTGATCGACGGAGACCGTACCCACGAGGTGGTGGACCACCTGGCGGTCCTGGTTTTCGTGGCGGACCGCCCGGTCCCCCAGGCCGTGGAGGTGAGTGGAACACATTCTGCTGTTGCTTTTTTCGCTTGTTTCCAAGAGATTCGGATAAGGTTATGGCCACAATAGTGTCAAAAGCACACCATCGTGCTACATGCTGCACTTGTTTCATTTTATTTATTCAACCTTAAGGGCCCGAAGGCATTACATGAGGGGGCGTCGTACATCCAGGTTGCAAGTTTCTAAGCAATGTAACAATATGAGGGTGCACACTGATTGCATGATGCTGCATGTGATAACTTGTTGTTTCATCTGCCATAGAATCATTGTAAAGAAAGTTTGATGGACATTGCTTCAATACCATAGCTGGAGTATGGAAGGTGTCTCTTAAAGATTTCTTCTAAGCTTTCTTTTGTTTTCTGTTTGCTGCTTTTGCTTTGGCGTAGTGCTACAGTATATTTGCATGAATTCCATGTAAACCGACATACGGTATTTACTCGGGTAATCTTCGCACCCCCCACATCGCCCAACAAAAAATACTTTTTTTTTTTCCAAGTGATTATCGCACCCCTGAAAATTGCCGCAACAATGTCATCTGCTTGTTCCAGTCTCTGATGATGATAGTGCATGCCATCTGGCGCCATCTCCTAAGCATAAAGCGTACCATTATTGCAAAGTGATTCAATTCAATCTAAGCCAAAGTGGCAAACGGGCGTTGCGGAGTGTTGTGTTCGTAATGTTGTTACGTTATGGGGCGATACAGAAACTACTTAGCTGCTTTCAAGTTGAAAGTGATTGGTCATGCACTAAACAACGGCAACAGGGCTGCCCGTACGCCCTTCAGAGTCGATGAGTTTTGTGTTCCCTGCTGGTGACGGCTGCTGGGACTGGGCCTAAGACCGGGATTGACGGTAAACTTTATTTCGTCAGAAGGCAACTGCGAAGAATTCTTTTGAATCCCCATCACCCCAATACTGACATTCTACGCTTACTTTTTGCGAGCTCCGGTTGAGCGACAAACGCTACCGCAACGCCCACAAGCTTAGCGTATAATATTCTAATTCTCAACTATTAGCTTGGGCCTTTTGTGCCTCAGATAAATCTTGCCTTGTGTTAAAGCTGTGCTTTTATTGCCGAGGTAAGTATTAATTAGCACTTCTCAAAGCTTGCTGTTAGCTGCTCACACGGACGAGGCGAACGGTAGGGGAGATCAGTGTGGCCAGAGCCTCCACCATATAATGGAGTGGGAGCACTGAAGAATTCTTCGACCCCCAGCCATAGATATTGGCAAGCTTACGTCTTGGGGGAAGGGGGGAGGGGGTGTTAAGGGGGGACGTGGCAAGTAAAACTAATTTTTTTATTAATGTACTGTTTGTGATGAAATTTTGTGTGTGTATGTGGATGATTGTGAGGATTCCAAATATGAAAACCGTTTTCAAATACCTCTTGTACTTTTTGAGTTACAAGCATAATTATACTAATTAATGCTCTTCACACTTAAAGAGATAATTATTGCTAAATGAAATTATTTTTTCATATTATTATGTTCCCAAAGCATCAACATGTGCAAAGAAGCTATTAGTTGATTTTTCTAGTTCTTGTAACCATAAATAAAATTTCCAAAACATGGATGTTGTTTTGCGCACACATCGCAGTAATTATAAAATGTGTTCTAAAAATTTTAAATGATGAGTAAGAAGAGAGATAAAGCTTTATTGCACTGCTAAAGGCCTCCTGAGCCTAGTGCAAAAAACGGAACGACTCTATCAGTCTTTGTTAGAAAATGACAGATGTTCTAGCGAAGGCACATAGGCGAAAATCAAGAGTTGAGAAAACTGACTTTGAAAGTTCACTCTTGTTTGGAAGTTCACAACATGCCTAAAACACTCAGAATCCTCCTGGGCAGTAATCCTGAGATGCTGTGGCCTTGGCCTCTGTAGAGCGCAACCCAGTTTTGCGCTTCTTTGTCGTGGAACAATGCGCCTTTTGAGCCCTCTTTACCCTTTTGGCATCCTTTTCGGCTGCTCGCCGCAAAGAGCAGTCTCCTGGATTGAAGCCCAGTTGAGCAGTGATCTCTTGCAGCGCACTCTTGCAGCCACCATTGAAACGGCAGACTGCATCTGCAACTGCACTTTCCACACTTCGAAGGGAGGCGAACTGGCTCTTGGACTGGAGTGACCAAATGAGGCTGTTCATACTCTCCACAGCGTTCTGGGTTTTTCCCTGCGCACACCTTTCAAGGAGCTCTTTGTTCGAGAGGCGCTTGTAGATTGGCAGCAGTGCCACTCGCACGTGAGGGGGCAGTTTATGTTTGTGAGGCGGCAGCGGCTCTCCCTTGGCCAATGCCTGATTGTGCGGGCACCAGGAGTCAGTCCCACTTGGGCACAGGTTGTGGTGTGGATCCTGGTCTGTGGATGTTACATGGTAATAAGTGGCCATGATGGCCCTCTCCATGCCAGGAACATCGTTGGGGTGGCTCTTAATGGCCCAGCCATAATAATTCGTCAACTTCTTTATCAGGCCCTGCGTCAGCCGGCCTTTGCCACCCATGCTCAGTCCTCGGCCTTTGGATTTGTGCTCATCAAGAAGGTTGCGCAAGGAAGTGCCCATTCTTTTTTTCACATGGTTCACACACTCCTGTTTCTTAATCACCATGTAGCCATACACCTTGTCTTGCGTGAGGGCAAGGTACGTACGGCTGTCACCGTCGCAGAGCACATTGATATATCGAAGCTTGTACTTGGTAAACGATCTTTCAAACATGATCCTCGCTGCTTCTACTTCCATTTGGCCTGCATTAGCATCGGTGTTCTTTTGGCACTGTGGCTTGTTTCTCAAGCCACTCCTCATAGTTGTCGTCACCAGGCTTGGGGCCAACAGCACAGCCTTGGCAGTAGTTGGACAGGACACAGTGGTCCAAGACCAAGCCTGTGTACAGCTCGATTACACAGCCCACGCCAATATGACTTCTGTGCCCCCTCGTCATCCACGTGCCGTCGTAAATGACGTCAATGTTGCCTGGCACTCCTCCTAGGTCCTTGTAAATGTCATGCACCTTCTGTGCACTTTCTGCTTCAATGCGGGTGGCAGCTGATGTGGTGGCAGGGTGGCTGTACTTCCTTTGCAGTCTCTGGTAGGACTTGTGGTGCAGTGCTCGATGCGAAATGTCCATCGCAGAAAAAATGTCATTTATGGCAGATTGTTTTCTGCCAACTGACTGCACAGCCCTCAAAGCAAGCACGCACGCACGTCCCCCGGAGCACCTCGGGGACGACCACGCACTGTTCACTCTGCCACAACTGTCACAAAAAAGTTCCATCCTCGCCGCGAGTCCAAGGCAGTGCGTAGTCTCGAGGCGTATCGACCCTTCGTCGCACTTGTTGCACTTTACTGACGAAAGCAGACCGTTCAGCATCTTCTTATTTACAATGAAGAATGTGGAGTCCTTACCGCCGTCATTTTCGTCGCAGCCTTCGTTCAGAAGCTCGAGCTTCCGCTTTGAAGCGGACTTCGATGCTACGGCATCCAAAACATCCCGCCTTGTCTGCGCCCGCTGCGCGATTTCTCCACTGCTCGGAATCTGGGCCGAAACTCGCGATAGAATGTTCGACGCGCGCACGCCCGGAGTTGCAACGGCTGCCGACGCGGTGCCACCGCAATCGGGTTCGCGAGAGCGTCCATCACGGTCGACGGCATCCGGCGGTCTGACATACGACGATGTGGCACCTTCCACACTCTCGGCCTCACAACAATCAGCGAAGGGTCTGAGTAGAGGCTCCGTGACGCTTGAAGAGCATGCTCCGTCCGGAACTGCGACTGGGACGGCAGCCGCAGTCGTCTGCCCTTTGTTCCAAGCTTTCCGACGCTTGCCGTACTTGTGGACGCTCCGGAACTTTTTTTGCGGCAACATAGCACCGCAGTATGAGCAAGCACTCAGAAGAGACCACCGATGTAAACAAAGCTTGGTAAAAAAAGCACGCGAACTATCACAAAAACAGCAAACTGGCAAAAAACGAAGCGCACGCCGGATGATTCTCGGCACGGCGGCCGCAGATGCGCTCGCGCTTCCAAGGTTGCCAAGGTGCGCGGCGCAGCTTTGACCAGTAAGAGGTCGCGCCTGCTACCACGTGACCCGCGCAGCCAATTGCCGTTCTTCGTTTTCGTTTTTTTACTTGCTCCTCGCGCTTTTATTTTCACTCGGCGAAATACGAGACCGCGACCATTGGGAAGCCGGCTTTCTCCTCTTTCCAAAGCTACCAAAATGGCGGCCCACGGTCAACAACTTGGCGCGTTTGTGCGGCGTGAACAACACCGTTTCAGGGGCTTTTTTTTCGCACTTTTCGGTGACTAGCCTCGGCAAAAACACTATTTGCGGGATTTGTAGCGCACGTTTCGCTTTAATATTTTAGAACAAGGAAGTTGAAGGTCTGAAGATTACGAAAAAAAATAAATCAGAAAATCGCATATTTTGACCAAAATCGGCACTTTACTTGCCGCGCCCCCCCTTAAAGCTGCATTGTGTCTTGACTGAAGAAGGAAGAAAACACTGGTGTCTTTTGAGTGAGGGAAGTGCACGTTTAGCAACCCCCCCCCCCCCCCCCCCCCCTGCCGCTTTTCTGCTTTTAGAAACTTTCTTGTTTATGTCTTTTTTTTTTTTTTTTTTTCCAGAATGCACACGTGCCGTTGCTCTTGGTTTGACTCTTCACCACAAGCTTTTCTTTTTTGCTAAAACGAACTCGCCCAAAGCGAAATTTTGGGCAGCGTCACTGACAACGGCTTTCTTTTTTTTTCCCGACTACGAAATTTCTTACAGCCTCTCTGACTCGTGAAATACTACTATTGAGTTAGTAGATAGGAATTATGCTATCATAGCATTTCTCTCACGAGAACAACCGAGAACGGAAGGGATCTAGCCTATCAATATTTGACAATTATTTGTACAAGCTATTCATTAGGATTTTGAAACACAAGGTAATAGAAGACTACTTCTGTCTTCTCATGCGTGCTCAGCCTAAAATTCTGCTGTATCAGTGCAGCCAATAAAGTAAATTGTGAAGTATGTCATGTTTCTGAAAATAAAAAGCAGCTCTTGGATTTTACGGCTGTCTATATTTTAAGCGTCTAATCTTGAATAATGAGGCCTGTTAAAAAAAAAAAAAATTTTGTTATAAAGTAAGACATCTCCACCAGGCTTGAACAAGCAGAGCAGTAGCAGAAGCAGTAACAACAACAAAAGCGGGTGGTGTCATAATTCTTATCAGAATAACCACCTTAAAAGACAACTAAATATCACTTCATAGAGATGGTAGCGCTCCATCGCTTGACCGTCGTCTCCCACACAGAATTTTTTAGGTTAGTTTTACTATAGTCATCAGAAGAGATGTCCCACAAGCGATGATATTCTTTCACGAGAGAAAAGAAAAAAAGTTGCTTCGTCGTTCATTTTCGCCATCACGGTGCATGCAAGTCTGGAGCGTAATTTGGAACAGCCGCCGCTGCCGGGTTCTGCGGGCACTGCAGGAGAGAGACCTACCCGAAATTCTGCAACATCCCCCGCTGCACGAGGACCGTTTGACCGGTCATAGAAACGGTCCCCGTCTCCCCCGAGGATCCGCGAGGAGGTCGCGTCAACACACTAACCCGTGGCATCGTTGTCACGTGATGCGCCATCCTCGTCTCTCCTCCAGGCATTTCTCCCTTGTGTGAATCCCGCTTTAGGTACCGCATCGCGGAGCACTTGCTCATAGCTGTTGACCACCTGGCAGTCAACTTGCCGCTTCGGGAGTCTCGGTATTCAGCTGTGGAGGTGGTGAATATTTCATGGGCGGCATTGACGGCTACAAGCGCGGGAAACTGTTTTCGCAAGGCCGACTTCGTCCACGTCGGGCCCGATGCCGAGCCTGAAGCTTCCGAACAGGACCACTGCGGCGGCCATTTGTAGTAGCGCGTCGTCAACTCTGACATGGGATAGCGGGTGGGACATCTGTTGCGATGGTTTCATTACGATCGTTGATGATGCCGACACTGCGGAACCGTGCACGGATTAGGGCATATTGAATGAAGTACGCGGCAAGAGCGTGTTTGGAGGAATCGGATTGCGAGAACGACGAAACTTTGGAGCCAGTGCTTCATGCAGCTTATGCCCCTGGCCTCAGCGAAGAGCACACTGCCATTTGAAATGAACTCGAGACCGCCCTTATCGCTTCTGCTCTTCGAAACAGGTGCATCACGGCCATTATTGGGTAAAAGGCTTTGTGTTTTCACTCGCAGCTTTTTTTGAAGCTGTTTCGTTTACTCGAACTTCGGGAACAGATGCCGCGACAGGCTCAGGTTCGTTATAAGCGGGCTCGACTGTATAATGAGTTTTTGGATATGTTATAATCGGGTTCGAGTGTATAAGCTCTCCACCAGGAGTTGCCTTTATGGATCCACACTTTTTCTGTAGACATTTCTTCATTGTTCTTATTTTCTTTCTGTAGGCTATGGTGGACCACCCCCACCATATCGCGGTGGCGGAGGCTTCCGAGGAGGCGGCGGTGGCTTCCGGGGCGGGCCCCCGGGTGGGCCTCCTATGGGCAACCGCGGCGGCCCTCCACCACCTCCTCCGGGACCACCAATGCGCGGGGGCGGAGACATGAGGAGGGGCGGACCACCACCCCCGAGGGGGGGAGGTGGAGGGTGGGGCGGGCCCCCACCACCACGAGGCTATGGGGGCGGTGGCCGGCCTGGACCTCCACCACCTCACGCGTCACCTCAGGGCCCCATGCCACCTCAGCAACAGGTAAGCAGTGAACTCTGAAAGCACATTTATTTCTAGTCTCTTCTCATGTGGACAGCGAGGTGGCGGCCGTATTTTATTGTTGATCTTGTTATCTAGGGTTTGTTTTGATGATTTGGTTGTAACTTACTGCTGTGTTACTTGATGCAATATCAATGTCGTCGTCGTGTGAGTGAGGTTGCCCCGGAATTGGCAAAGGAGATCAGCCGTTGGCGTTTGAACAATTGTGGTAAAAGAAAGCCACGTAACGTTTTTATGGAGTGCCCTGGCGGCGCGGGGACAGCTTGCAGAAGATAGTGCCATCAACCACTGAAGATAAGCGAAGTGCAACAAAGAAGCTCTTTTCAAACAGTGTACGCATGTGTCAATTGCAAAAGGTCAAGCTACTTAACTCTTTCTTTTCTTGCATTATTGCATTTTCTGTGCATTCCGAAAGAAAGTTTTCACAACTTTTGCCCGGCATGATAAATGTACCCCCAACTTTGCTCGACTTTTCGGATGAAGATGTGCAATCATTCCGCAAGTATATACGGTATTTGAAAGGGCTAGTCTTTTGAGATTTGCACTGCTGAGCTTTTACTTACTGCCCTTTGTCAGGTCAGTTGAAGCCAAAATATGCCAAAGAATGGAAGTGCACTACAGCGTGTTCCACATGCAGCCCCAGAGCTCCAGTTGTGCTCTCTGAGTTGTATTTTGCCCCTCCGGAAAGTTTTTTTAGGAATTTCGTGCTGGAAATACTGGCTTACACTGCCAACAGGCCAGATGCTGAAAATGCTGCTTTCTTTTTTCTTCTTTCCCCCAGTCCTATGGTGGCTACGGCGGCGGCTACAATCAACAGTACCAATCGTACGGCCAGCAAGGTACGAATATGACTCTTCTCTCTTTCTGGGATTTCTGGGTGCATGAGGCATGTTGGTAATGTGCATGCGTTTGCTAGTTGCTTGCGTGGTGAAAGGTCGTAACTTGCTCAAAAGAAATGACCTTGTATAACTTCTCTTTTTGAAGCAGAAACCCAATGGCACAGGCATTTGAACTAAGCTGCAATGGCTTTTGCGGCATAGCTACACAGCTCTACTGGGTGAATACACCGTAAATGACTCGCTTCTTTCTTTTTGTAGCCGTACAACACCACAGCTGAGGCATTAAGCTAACGTGAGTTTTGAGCTCGAGTTGCATGCTGTCTGCCCGGCTCCCAAAAGTACTCGAGCTAAGTTTTAATGCAAGTTGGTTTGCTAGCCTTATTCATATAGAGTGCTGTCTAATGCTTATATAAACCCCTCTTCCTGCTGCGCAAAAGTATCAAAATTCCAAAAATATCCGAATCATGCAAGAACGTTGCAAACATTATTAAATACGAGTTCCATAAGAAGAAAGGAAAGGCAGGCTCGTGACACGTGTTGTGTTACGCATGCTTGAGACCACTTTCCCGCAGTGGTCGTCCGACCCGTCGCAGCACCGGTTTTCGTCTGGAGAAAGTGTTTCCTTACTAACCCCCTTGCTCCATACGGGGGACTTTGACTATGACATCCTGTTGTCGACGAGAAAACCATATTAATAAGAAGCACATTCTACTGACGGAAACGGTTTATGTGACAGTGGTGAGCTTTAGCACTCCGTACGCAGTGTCCGTAATGGCATTCCACATGAAACGAGCCATTCTTGGTATAATGCAGAAGTGCTTTATACAAAGCATAAAGGCCCGCCCATACACATCTATTGCAGCGTGTCAGCGCACGTCTTTTTGACGTGGTGCTGAGCCCTCTCTCTTCATGGGGAGAGGGCACGGCACCGCGTCTGAAAGCCATGCGCTGCGACAGATACATGGGGTTGGACCTTACCATTCTTGCCGTTATGGACACCATGTACGTAGTACTGAAACTTGCTGATGCGATGGGCTGGACAACTGCCATGTGCGGATCGGTCTTTTGTCGCACGTTCTTCGCACGACACCTGAGTCCGTAGAGAGAGAATGGCTTGGTTGCTGCCATTTGGGATACGGCCACACGTGGGCGGTGTTGTTTGTGTGTGCCACACGCAGGCTGGCCCCTGCCGCCACAGCCCCGACGTCAGCCGTGGTGAATGCGCTGGTTCTCCTCCCCCCCTGTCTTCCCGACTCTGCCCCCTTCAGCGCGAGTGCTTTTCGGGGTTACCTGCGCAGGCTACGGGCAGCCGCCGGCTCCGCAACCGCAGCCACAACCGCAGCCGCAGCCACCCTACGGGGGCCAGCAGGTGCCACCCGCTGGGCCCTACGGGCAGCCAGCCGTCGTTCCTCCGGCCGCCGCCGCACCTTACGGCCAGGCCGTCACGGCGCCGTACGGCCAAGCCGCGCCCCAGCAGCCTGCGCCGGCCGTGGCCTACGGACAGGCTGGACAGGCTGCCCAGTACCAGCAGTACCAGCAGCAGTGGAATCAGTACTACCAAACCCAGCAGCAGCAGCAGCAGCAATGGAACCAGTACTACCAGCAGCAGCAGACGTACGCGGCCAGTGCCGGCGGCTATGCACCCATGCAGCAGATTCCATCCGCGCGAAAGTAGTGGACGCCACCGGTTCCGGCTACCACTCTTGGCTACCCCTCCCCCCTTCTGCGAGCCCTCTTGTGTTCATAAAAGAGCACCCCTTCACACTCCTTTCTCAACCACACGACACCTTTCTGTGGTGAGAGGCAAACACCACTGCCACTGCTGATCTTGGATGAAGGGGGTTTGCGACAGGAGGGGGATACTCAAGCGCGGAGGTAACATCACACCAGTCACGATTTCTTTGTCATTGTTGGGTGGGGCTGTTGCATCGCTGGTGGCTCTGGTTCCACTGTATGCGCCGTTTCATTTTTCGATGCTGTTGATCGCTCGAAGGACTGTTAAGGACAAGAGCAACAAACTGAGGCAGCGTCTCTGTGGAATTGCAGGGCCGGGTGTCATTTTGTATTTGAAAATCTGGCATTCATACCAATATTTGTTGTCATTGTTCTCTCTTTTTTTGGCTCTGATCAAAGGTGTGCGATTCTAAAGGGCGCTGTTTGTTACTGAACATCTGTGGCTTGGCTGCGGCATCCAATGTGTATGTGTTGATATGCGAGGCAAGTGGCTTTTTTTTTTTTTTTTTTTTTTTGCGAGTGTGATAGATTGGGGGAGAGGGCTCGTACTTGGGAAGGTCCGGGGGAGAGCTCGGCTCTTAACGGGTGCAATTCTTTGCGTAGGCAGGCCTTCTTTTCTAGGTATCCCGCATGTACCATGCGTTAGTGAGGCGACGGCATGCTTTCCTAGTGGTTGTGCAGACTTGTTGATCGGGTACCTTAAAGATCGTGTTTCATTGTTCATCGCGCTATCGAAATTTTTAAGACACATTTCTTACCGCATATTGACAGGAAACAAAATTGTGTTGTTTTGTTGTAGTGTTCAGCAGAGTTGACCTGTGTGCCTGTAATCTAGAATGGTGGCCATACAATAAGCAATGATTGTCACACTCCATGTGTTGGGCGAAGGAAAACTGGTTCCAAGTATATTGATTCCGTTTTGTCCTTGAGGTAGTGTTAATTTCTTCTAGTGAGCAGTGCATGTTAACGATGTTGCACTTCTCTGAGAAGTTCGCTTTTGTGTACACTGAAATTGTGCTTGGCTTGTATTGATTGGGAGCACCTTTTGCTGCCTTTTTTTTTCGTTGTCTGTTTCATTGTGCATGTTTACATATACATTGTATTTTTTATGACATTTTTGCTGGTACCTTGAGTATGTATTTGTCACTTAGTTAAAGACATACCAAGAATGGAATTTTCACATTTTTTTTCCTGATCATCTACATCGGCCACCAGTCCTGGTACCCCATCCGCCATAACGCACACTTCATTGAAAATCTCATGCCCATTTAGCTAAAAGCACATCATCAGATTGGCAATGTGCGAGAATGGCCTGTAGTTGATCAGCATGGCCTTTCGAAAGCTGCAATTGGCTCGATTGTTACGCATCCTTGCTTCTTCATCGACTGTCTACATTATAGTTTTTGACTTGACCCTGGTTTTGTTGCGTCGCATGTTCTGTACGACTCATGGGAGGTAGCGGAGGATTGGGAGGGGGGTGGCGCTTGGGGCGGCTGCCAATGATGGTGTATCAACTTGTACATTCTGAAGAACTTGACTATATCTCGAGCAGTTTTGATCATGCCTCACACACCCCTATTTGTACATCAACATCTCTAAATAAAAAGAGTGTAATAAAAGAAGATGCATTTCGGTATACATTGTTGTGTGGTGTCTTTTTTTTATCACCTCGCCCGCTTTTCTCTGAAAGTGCGGGAAATAGCCTAGAGTCGCTGTACAGCATTCACAATTTCCTGCTATCGCCCAGAGGGAACTTTGGCGTTGCGGTCATTTAGCCACCATGGGAATGATAGGTAGTAGACTAATTGCGATTTGCCCAATTTTTGTGCGTGGGCTCTAGCACAAACTTATGGCTTGGTATGTTGTCTCTTGGTATTTGTTTTGGATAAAAGAATAAATAGCTGATTGTTTGTGAGCAGACTTGAATTGTTTAGCCTGAATAACTGCTGAACATTACCTAAACTTCGTCTTGCGACAAAGCGGATTGGAAAGAACCGTAGAGTTTCCTAAAGTCAACTAGAGGGAACTCTGAAGCGGGGATCATTCGGCGACCATTGAAATGATGGATAGTACACGGATTTGCCTAGTCTTCGTACTTTCGGGCAGCGAATCTCGCTTGTGGCTGCGTTTATTGCAGTGTCTTGGTTTTGTTTTGAAGGAATGAACGAACCCTTTTGAACTTTGTGACCCTATTTGAAATAAGTCTAAAGGAATAAGGTGGGCAAGTGCTGAACCGCTGAAAATTTGCCAATTTTTGTTTCGCGACAAATAAGCTCCAAGCCACGCGAACACCACTGAAGCCAGAAGTACAAAGATTAGACTACCCATCATTCCCATGCTCGCTGAAGCGCCACATCACTAGTGTATATTTAGGAAACTACGGGAAGAACAAAGCTTAAACGAGTGTGTACTAACCACAATTCCATGCTGGCTGAAACACTACGCATGCAACTCCCATTAAAGCGGCCCTGCAACACTTTTTTGATAATCGGAAAACACTGCCGATCTGCAAGCCAAATATTCTAGCGCAGCACGCGTCTTCGAATTCACTACAAGTCATCAAAGTGAGCTGAAAATTTATTTCCTTCGACGAATGACCTAGAAAACTCGAAAATTGCTCGTAGAAGGTTATCAGCCATTGGCCGATTTGAACCTGGCGCGCTCGGCCGTTATAAGAATCGCCACGGCTTGTGCACGCGTGATCACCTTAAAGCCAACTCCGGCGATTTTTTATAGGTGAATGGATCTCAATGAAATTCGCTGGGTACGTTCCTTTGCACATTTCCATTACTTATGGCAAATTACAGGTTTGAGAGATGCGCTGATTATTTTCAAATGGATTCTAAAGATTGCCTCGAAAAGCTCACCTCGCTTTTCAGAATTATTGGCCACGCTGTCTGTGTGACGTCAAGTTTGGCATGTCAACGGAAGTGACGGAGCCAATGGCATTGCTACTTTGGCCGCTACAACGTTTATGGTGCTGGCCACAAGGTGACGGCGGTGGTGTTTGGCACGGGTACAGTGAACACTTCCAGTACACTCTAGCACGGGTATAGCACGAGAAAGCTTTCTTCCTTCTCAGTGGTGTTTGGCCGGCGCTTCGCTGGTCTGGCTTTCGGAGTTTTCGTACTACACGCCGTCAGGACCAGTATACTTTCTCTGGTTCGTATACTGACATATGCTGACGGGGCTCCCGCTCTGGTTTCGGTTTTGCTCTTTTTTTTTTTTTTTTTTTTGTCTACTGCCTGTTTCTGAGGAATGGTTTGGAAACGCTAGCTTAGACGCGGTAGAATAGATGAGCGCAATGAGTGTTCGAACGAGTAGGAGCGTTCCACGGATGTCGCCTGCTCGATGGGCTGACCGCGGGGACACGAACGCAAGCGAAACGCTGGCACAGTAGCCCCGCATCTCGTTGCAGGCACTGCGCCGTGCTCCCGACTGGGCTGCAGATATTAGGTGCCTTTCTCCTAACCACTACCACCACCATCTCGTTGCAATTCACAGAGTGAGTGAGTAAAAACTTTATTGAACATGTCCGGCGTCATTGAGCGGGGTGGGGCTACAAGCACCCCGGCCTAGGTGACGGCCTCGAGTCCTTGGACCCGGGCGGCATCCTGGGCTTGCCGGACGGCCCACAGTTGATCAGCAAGGTCGTGGCTGAGCAGAGCCGCCTCCCATCGCGCCTCGCGGTTCGAGACTGCCATGTCTGCCGGGTTCGTAGGGGACTGCTGCGCGTTACCGGTACACTTCCACAGCATGTGCTGCAGCGTCGCTCTGGCTCCGCACGCCTTACACGCGTCGGACGTATAAATGCCTGGGTAGCAGAGGCGAAGGATCACCGGATTCGGGTACGTGTGTGTCTGTAGTTGTCTCCAGGCAACCTGCTGTTTCTTGTTTAGTTTGGCGTGGGGTGGTGGATATTTGCATCTGTTCAGTCTGTAGTGTTGCGTGATGTCTCTGAAAGTGGTCATGCGTTGCAATTCACAGAGAAAAAATTAAATAAAGAACGCTCACGTTTTCTTCTTGCGTTGCATTATTTATCTAGAGATTTATTATTCTCTTTAAGCAACAAATTCATAAACTACGTATGTCTTGTTAAATAATTTTCGCCATGTCACGTGCCACAGTTCGCAACGCCAGAGCACAGTTCCCTACATAGAGGACCAACGTCATTGCATTGCCGCGCAGGTCATGCCGCGCGCCCGCAGAAGTAAGTGGGAGCAGAGTTCATCTTGAAATTTGACCCATTTCGCGGCGCGTAGTGTTGCAAATTTTGGCAGACATGATCGTGAACGCCTTATCTACGCATTGCGCTTGTCAGCTCAAAATCGTCAAACCTGGTGAGTGGTTCTTTAAAAGAGCCGCGTATTTGAAGAAAAAAAAAAAAGTGCTCCAGGTCACGAGGCGCGCGTGACGCATTTTCTTTGCCCATGCCATCTTTCCCTGCTTAGCTTCCAGCGATTTCGTCGGGAGGAGAGAAGAGAATGCGATTGCAGCGCATGACAAATCATAACTCCGCTCGTACTGGATGGTATAGAGTTTCATACAATTATTGTATGAAAATCTATGCTGGACAAAATCTTAATATTTTTGCGGCGTTTAATTCGTGGCAATAAGCTCTTTTATTGAATCCGTTCCATGGTAACTTGAGAAAGTGTACCAGGGCCTCTTAAACACTAGTTCCGGAGTTCCCTGTAGTGTATGAGGAAACTCTACGGTGTTTTGGACATAGTAATATTCTGTTATCTTGGTAATTCTGATAGGTCCAGAAAATAGCTGCGGTACTTCATATGGTCGCCAGCGAAAATGCCATACTTTCAATTTCCGCAATTTAACGGCACTTCCAAATTGGACACTGCAGAATTGCACCGCACGTGGTTTATTTAGGCGGCGATGGTAGTGTGTTGGTGAAGCACGTGGAATTGGCCTGGAAGATGTTTTGCGAGACAAATTTGAGGAGCCGAGTTGAAAGCGAGCTCTGCAAGTTGTTCATAGTTGTCTTCCAAGTATGCGCAGGTGAGCTGAAGCCTACGTCAACCATTCAACGAGGATTGTGGAAATGGTAATTGCACGGAGGGAAGCATGGTGTCCCTGCAATTCGTGCTTCTAAATGCAGCTGGCCATCTGACATTCGCAGTCGCGGTGAGAGCTTAGCTGTGATTGCGGGGCTTGAAATATTTGTGGTGGTGTAGACCTTATATCATAGTCTGCCCGACTACGCCCACTGCAGAGAAAAGGCCTTTCTCATGATCACCAGTTAACTCGGTCTTGTGCAACTTTTTAATCTCACTGGCCTACCTAACTTCTCCCTTGTTCATAATTCAGTAAGTTACGCGTTACGGGCCCGGCCCATGTCCATTTCTTCTTGATTTCAACTACAGTATCCTCAACCCGTGCGTACCATGCGTTAGCTACGACATGCTTTCCTAGTGGTGGCGCAGACTTGTTGGTCCGGCATCTTTTATTTTTAAATAAAAATAGCAGGTTAAGCTGGGCGCTTTTGTTGTTGCAGCCTATGTGATCCTTTTCGTGGAGGTACGAATGGGTGGTGCAAAATCATTTGACGCCGTGTCTGGCTGCCGTAATTTTAATTTGGCGCCTTGCGCGAAAGCATGGCCAAAGTGATCTAGAATATTCTAGCTCACATTAGCATAGCTTGCGAAATTTGTGGGACTAGAATCCGTCGCTCAGTATGCAGTTGATATACACTCAGTTTATTGACTGTCTGGGAGGACCCGTTCGGCGAACCATCCAACGTGCACAAAGTTTCCAACTTGGTTTCCGACGTGAAAAACGAAACAGGAGGCTCGCTTTATCAAGCACAACGCCATCGCGTATGCATCATACAAATACCGCAAAATGGCGCCTTCTATGTTGTTACCACCGTGGCTTACACGTGCATTGTAGACGAGTAGCGATATTTTGCTCCGCAGCGGCCAAGATGAAAAACAAGCCGCTAAAACACAAGTCGGAGAATACGTTCAGGGTAAGTGAACCAACTGTTCTTTTCTTCACTAGCCAGATTACATAGTCGGCGCACATTTTCCGGATCCCGTGACCCCCGCACGCTCGCGTGGATTTTGATCAATGCGTCTGCTGTGTTGGTCAGCGCGTCTCTGGTGCGTGATAATAGTTCTGTATCGTGCGCGTACACTAAAGCGGAACGCCTAATTTTCGAGTCGCACATTTCGTAAATGCGTCGCAGCAATGTGACGCGGTAGTAGCCGGCGTTCTTGGTGCGAGCACTCTGAATGAATTTAAAAGGCGGTGCGATCTTATGGAACATCCCGATACGTGTTTTGTGGGAGAAAGGGATCGAGACTTGTTGGAAGACTTAGCACGATCTGCCACCGGTGTTGAGTGGTGATATGATACATATCTTCTGTCCCGAATGTCGTGTTTTATCTAAATGCGGTTGCATTTAAACAGGGGGAAATGCTGCAGGCCGTGCACTGGATGTTGAAGATCCCCGGGGGGTTCTAATGTCCCTCCTCTACGGTATCAATCGCTACCATATCGTTGTTTTGATGTTTTGCCGCTACCTCTATTTCAGTTCCAGTCGTTCTCGGAGCGGCTGTCGAACATCAACATCGATGTCATTCACCGCGTGGGCCCTCACAGGCGACTGACGCCGTTTGAGAGTGAAACATTCGTCGAAGAAGCTCTCAACAAGTGGTCCGAACTGAACTGCACCGAGGACTTTGGTGAGAACATTTCAGAATCGGAACAACAGAGAAATCGACACCCCGCCATGGTAGTCCATTGGTTGTGATTTAAGGTCACGGGATTGAATCCCGGCAGCCTCGTTTCAACGGAGGCAACAGGCTAAAGGCCCGTGTACTTCTGTTTAGGTGCGCATGTAACAACGGCATACAATCAAAACTTCAGGAGACCCCCCACAACCACAGCACCGTCCCTGATAACTGTATTGTGGTTTTTTGTACGTAAAACCCTAAAAGTTATTACCCTTAAGCGGTATTGGTGCCACAAAGGAGCCAGAATCAAACTTCAGTTGGTATAGGTTCAGCACAGAAGAAAGCTGACTGAAAAAAGTCTGTGCCTGTGCACCTCTCTTTATCAGAATCAGTTTATTTGTGTCAGTCCTGTACTTGAAAAATAAACCGGAATGCCCTATACGAGACCGGTTTTAGATATAGCTGCAATGATAACACGGGAAATTAGCTGCTGTAAAATCCCCTAAAATCTTATGACATTCCAATGATCAGTGTGCAACATGTGGCTGTTAATATATTAATTAAATCTAACTACTTTGCAAAAACAATGTGGAGCAACTGGAAAGCATTAGCCCTAAAAATGCAGCGAATGTATTTGACTGCACATGACTACTGAAAAGACATTCTTGTGGGCACTGTCACAATAGCTTTGCTATATGGCTTGAAGCGGGCAGTTGGCATCAATTCATTTGGGTTACAAATCACCACAGGAGACCTTCATTAAAGCCAACTGCTGCTGCCTGTAGAATTTTTCGTCTCGGGAGGCTCTTCTAATGTCTTCAAACGTATGAAGCAGATCACTTGAAGCCATGATATTTTTTAGCCCTATTGAGCAAAGAATATTTCCACATTAATACGATTTTCTGTTTCAGATAAACTCAGGCATGACATTGGTTTGGAAATACACACCTTGCCTCAAATTGTGCTTCGCAAAGTAAGTTTTTTGCTTTGTCGGTAGTGATTACCTGCTTTCTTGATCTGGTAAGAATGAAGCCAGGGCAATGGTGGCTGTTTGTGTTGCTGTTGATGTCAATAGATTGGCTGCTTTCTTGATCTGGTAAGAATGAAGCCAGGGCAATGGTGGCTGTTCGTGTTGCTGTTGATGTCATTAGATTGGCTGCTTTCTTGATCTGGTAAGAATGAAGCCAGGGCAGTGGTGGCTGTTCGTGTTGCTGTTGATGTCATTAGATTGGCTGCTTTCTTGATCTGGTAAAAATGAAGCCAGGGCAGTGGTGGCTGTTCGTATTGTTGTTGATGTCATCAGATTGGCGCTATCGTCAAGCGCGCTAGTGTGTTTCTTTAGTATTACATATGTGAACTGCCACCACTTTGTGAATGGGCCTAGAAATTATTGCCCTCAGGTGCGAATTTGTATTACACTTGAGCGGGCTGCCATGAAACCATGGTTAAAGGCAGAACCTGTGAAATTTTGTTCATCTCCTACTGCATGGTGTCCACTGTGCGTGATTTCCTGCTGTAAATATTTTTTTTTACTCAACAGGACGCACTGCTGCACGTCGTCAAAACACATTTGGGAAACCTCGATAACAAGGCTCTGGATGCAGTTCTCGAGTGAGTGCAAGAAATTTTCTAAAAGCTGTTGCTTTCATCAGCGATCTTGATGACACATTAATCAACGATTCATCACAATTTGAAAGCTTTGTCCGAAGGCAGTAAAGCCTAAAAGGACAACCGTGGCTCATTGTTTGCAGCATCACAGTCGCTCTGGCCAGAGACCTTCAGTACGACTTCTACCCGAGCTTTCCCTGATGTGTTCCGGCTTGTGTGCGCCCACCTCGACACCCGTGACCCCGAACTACTGGAACGTATCTTCGTCTGCCTCTCCTACCTCTTCAAGTTTCTCTGGCGATACATGGTCAAGGACATCGACCTCATATTCAAGTGAGCTTAGTTGGCCTTGTCATAGTACTTCATTCATCAGTGCAATAGCAGTAAATGAGGGAGCTTTGTTCAGTAATGTGCATCGTTGCACATGTCTCTAGTCAGATTCAAATGTAGTAGGTCCGTGGCATTTCCTCGTCAAAGGCGGATGCACACAATGCCAATTGAGTAGCGCACTCCAGACTCTGGACTGCCGGTGACTCCCCGCCTTTTGGGAACACTGCTGCGTGCATATGGGGGGATTATTTTCTTAGTCATAGAGGTGATCGGCTGTCGCGCTTCAATTGCCTGAGTGGGGCCTTTTCAGGCTTCTTGAGTTTTGTCTCGTATGATGCATTCGTGCACTTGTGTTACTCTTGCACGACTAGTTAGGGTGCTCGGCTGCCGACTCGAAGGTCGCGGATTCGATCCCGGCTGTGGCGGTCACATTTTGATGGAGGCAGAATGGTAGAGGCCTGTGTTCTGTGCGATTTCAGTGCACGTTGAAAGAACACCAGATCGTCAAAATTTTTGGGACCGTGCGCTACGGTGTCTCTTAGAATCAGATCGTGGTTTCGGGACGTAAAACCGCACAAATTATTGCGCTTGCAAAACATTATGATTTGTACCTTCTTAATTTGAATTCAATAAACTAACGGTGCAGCTGGTTTTGTCAAAGTTGTGTGTGCACTCATACCTCAATATAACGAACCCATATATAACGAAATATTGGCTAAAATGATGTAATTGAAGAATAGTCTTGCAATAGATATAGTGTTAGGAATATACCATTACATACAACGAATTTCTGGGTGCAACATCATTATAATGAGGCACGAGTGTATTTCAATTGAAAAAGCTTGCTGAATTTAATCACAAAGAACTGCTGAACAGTAAATTTGAACAAAAGTGCAATAGATATAGTGTTAGGAATATACCATTACATATAACGAATTTCTGGGTGCAACATCATTATAATGAGGCACGAGTGTATTTCAATCGAAAAAGCTTGCTGAATTTAATCACAAAGAACTGCTGAACAGTAAATTTGAACAAAAGTGAGCCGCACTATGCTCTGCCATGAACGTTTTGCAATGTAATGTCAAATGAGCGATGTGTGTGGTGAAATTGCTTCGTCTGTGCTGTGGTGTTCCGAAAACATTCCTAGAGTGGCCTTAGAAGTTTCATTAGCTATTCATCTAGTTACTTACTTGAATCTTGTGCAGATGTAAATAACTAAGTATAGCATTAACAAAGTGACTGGATGCTATCTCCAGTTTTTTTTCAAGTGTACCACGAGGACCCGCACATTTCAAGAACTGTTATGTGTCACTGACTTTAGTGGCTGCTTGCTTTTCTAGCAGTTTGTATGCAACAATCCTGTTATTAATTTCACCTTTTTTTTGTCTTATGTGCCTGCACTGCAATTCCGTACATTCTTCCCCTAACGTGCATTTCAGATTATATGTTCCACTCCTCGGGTCACAACAGAAGAAGTATGTACGCGACTTTGCTGCGGAGAGCTTCGCATTCCTCATACGCAAGGCAAGTGTTTTGTGTGCTGTCTGCAGTTCTTGTTTTACAATGTTGCCGTAATGTTTCAGTCATTGGCCTTCTGCGTCTAGCTGCTGTATCGGTGTATGCATAGTTCACTCTCACCTTATGCCCAAAAATTCAACGAAATTCAACCTCTTGGTTGAGAAAAAAAAATTGCCGTGTACCTGAGTGTTTCTCTGCAAATGTTGTCGAAAAATGACAGTCTTCTGCCGACTATACTTTATGAATCCTGGTCTTATCCTAGGCTACCTGTGATGCTGTTTTCTTACCATTTTCGTCCCGCCTGGTGGTAGCACCATATTGTCGACAGAGGGCTTTTTTGTGCATAGCGTCGCATTTTCAGCTCCATGTAAGGAACACTAGGGTCTTTAAAATGACGTATCTATGTATATTCTAGTAAAAGGAACACACCATCCAATACCGTGTCTACTCGCGTAATGAACACACAATTTTTTTTTCTGTTGGGGGTGCATTTATTATGTGGCAAATTTTTTAAAAACTTTTTCGGTGGGAGCAAAAAATGCAGCAATGCAAAAAAAGTTAGGTCGCTCAGCTTCTTTGTCGCACTTCACCCATCTTTGGTGGTTGAAGGCACTATTTTCTGCAAGCTGCTCTTGCGCTGCCCGTGCATGCCATAAAAGCGTTCCGTGCCTATATTTTCACGCAATTGTTTAACTGCAACAGTGGTATTTGCTGTTATCTTGAGGTGTGCCCAAGCGTGCGCACTTTGTCAACTTCGTAGCAACCTTGCACGACGACTGTAATGATTCCCTTGACATTGTAGCAAGCAACCAACGTTGCAGCTAGCTACCACCGAAACATCAAAACAAATCATTGATAACAAGATTAATGACAAAACACTGCGGCCGCCTCACCTGCAGCTGAAGCGAGAATCGCGAACCATGCTGCGGAAATAGTCACGACCTTTTCTGGGGCGACAAGCGATTTATTTCTGGTTTTCCAGAAACCTGCGACACTATGGTGACGAATAGCCCTTCACGACAGCCATAGTGACAGCAAATCCTGTCATCGTCACTTGAATATTGCGTGCATGTGGTTGGATGTTGAAGTTTTGTACTATTTGCAGGAAGCGGCCGTCGGTTGGCGTGGAAGTTTCGTGACCTTTGCTCGCTGTGTGCTTATCAGCTGCGATGTCTCTACACTTGCATAGTTCATGAACCTCGCTGTGGGGCATAGATATTTAAAAAAAGACTGGGTACAAGTCGCGCACAGATGAAAAGAAAAACCATACGGCGCGCGGCAGCGGGTGAGGGGGGGAGTCACGGGAGGGTCGGCATAAAAATAAGAAACGGAAGAGATCCAATGGGCAAGGAGACACCAGGTATGGGTTAGCGGGACTCCAGCGAACGAATGTAGGGGGTGCATTTATTATGCAGGAAAAATAAAAATCAAATTTTGATGACTGAAGTTGGGGGTGCATTTATTATGCGAGTGCGTTCATTACCTGAGTAAATATGGCACTTTGTATTGGTGTTGCACCTCTGATATGTTATAGTTGCCCTCTGATTGACAAGTGTGTTCACAAGTATGAATGCAGCCACCAGTTCAGCATAGCTGGGCATTCAGCAAGTGCTTAAACTTTGGCACGGTGGCGGAATCGTGTGGCAGGACAGACAGACCGAAATTGCTGTGTTCAAGTATCCCGAGGAAGACTATCATTAAAATTTCTTAGAGGATACCGTGAGAGTGGAACACGTTATCATTATACCCCTTTTTCATTGCCTTCTTATTTGCTTGCCACGCGTCACTTTCCTGTGAACTTTTCGACTATACTGTAAAAAATGGAACATCTGTGCGTGTGACATCGGTCAACATAGACTCTCTCAGGGTGCCTTCTGCATGTTCACTTTCCGATCTACCCACTGTGTAATATGTCTGTAAGTAATATGTCACCTATGTAGAGGCACAGCTTTTGATGCTGTGGTTGGTTGTGATGAATTACGGCGGTAATGTGTGGGCAACTTTCAACCTGCCAACTCATTGCAGTAGTTCGCTGTTGTGATTCCCAGTGGCAATGTACACCACTTCCACTCAATGTTATATCTGCTGAGACTCTGTGCATGGCATGTGACACCTATACAGGGTCTCTTTCTGAATCAGATTCGAGCAGGGACCGTGGTTCTGTGGTAGAATACCTGACCGCCATGTAGAATGGCCAGGTTCAATTCTCGCTTTAGCGCCTGTTTGTGTTCTTTGCATGCAGCGTGATTTTTGCTTGCAGACAATGCCAAATTACAGACAACTATTTGCTTTTTGATTGACAGTTTTCACAAGTATGAACGCAGCCACAAGATCAAGATGGGTGGGCAATGAACAAAGGCTTAAAATTTCGCCAGGTAGCTAAATCATTGGACAGACAAACCGAAATTTCTGCTCTCTTGGGAGTGTCTCAAAAAAGACTACAGTGCAACTCCGCTACAACGAACGCCGCTTCAACAGAATTTCCGCTACAACGAAAAATTCACAATTTTCCGTGAGCAGTTCATAGGAGTCAATGCAAAATATTGTCGCCACAACGAACACTTTTTCTTCGATCGTCCCGCTTCAACGAAACTTACGATGCGATTCCAGGCTCAGATACTTATTGCTATGCAGTGAACCGAATTTTTTAACATTTTGATGCATTTTCAGAGCCTGAAAATGCCTCAAGGAAGTCTAAAACATGCGCTGGCACCTCCAGAAACTACCGCTATACCGCCGCACTTCAGCAAGCATGGGCGCCGCCACTGCTCAATAGCGATGGCAGTAAGACTGCCCTTGTCCTGCTTTTGCCACTGGCTTGCTTTTGAGCCGCAGAGAATCCGAAGCTGAAGCTCAGTTGCTCAGTAGCTGATGGTTTCCTTCATGCAGCTGCTCGGTGCGACGGCAGAATGATGCCTTTTCCGATTCCGATGCTTATATTCGTGCTCGGCCAGTGTGGTAACTAATCAGAGCGGTTGTTCGTCCGCATTATCAACAAAATCAGCTAGCCGCGAGTGATGTATGGTAAGAATGGCATAGAATAATGCATAAGTCGCTGCTCCACGATACCCTGCCTCAATGTCGGCGTTGTCGGATACTTTTGACAGCGGACAGCTGCTGGTGTGAACGTGTTGATGCATCTGTTTGGTTCGTTCACGAAGGCGGTTTTAGGCATTGTTTCAGCGTGCTTTTTATCATGGCGTCGCTATGCATGAGTGAAAATGACGTGACGCTGCTGGGAAAGAATAGGAAGCAGCGGATATTTTTTGAATTTTGAGAATAAAGGTTCCTCTCTCACATAGCTCAGATTAGCTACATTTTTTTTTTTATTTTACTACAACGAAATTTTCGCTTCAACGAAATTTTTTCAGAGCCCCGTCGGTTCCGTTCTAGCGGAGTTCGACTGTATTGTCTTTAAAAAAAAAATCTGCACACTAGGCAGCATGTCCTCACGTTTGATGGCACAATAAGGCTTTGCAAACTGCTTCCGGTATTTTTCCTTATTCGTGTCTCCTGCTCTACTGATTTCATTTTTTTTTCACTTATGTATCCTCCCAGGTGTCGGACAAAGAGAGACTTGTGGACATGATGCTGACTTATCTTGAAGCGAACCCACAGGTAAGATCGACACAATGTTGACCTGTTGTAGTGATTTTGTAACGCTCGGTTTTACATCTGGCATTCACTGCATCATTCTTTCAGAGCACTGACGGCATTGGTCGCCTGCTGTTTGAAGCTGTCAGAGGAGTTAAGGGGCAAACGCACAGTTGCATGGCAACGGTACGTATTGGCATGTGCTTATAGATTGATTTGCATAACGCTGCCACGTATGCTGCTGTCTGGTCGTGTTTCACTGGCAAAAGCTGTTAGCCCACACTGTAACTTTTAGGAAACATTTTGATTGTTTCAGACTATTTTGATAACACTGCACATGAGTTGTGTTTATCCTGAAGCTAACGTGAGCCCCAGCAATGACGCACAAGTTTTACATTCTTCGTGTATAAAAAAGATCGCACATTCTGCTGATGATCACATTATTCGACGTTGACGACTGTACTCGCTGCTATTGCAGTCTTGCGAGCGTTACTTGCTTGCATGATTTTTTTGCATTGTATGACAGTCATGTGATGGTCAATGGCTGAACTCTCTGCTTTTGAGTGTTTCTTGTTTATAGAGTGAGTGTTATTCGTACCTGCCAAGTTTCCCAAATCGTCTGGGAGACTCCAGAATTTGGACCCAAAAGAGCTGCGAAGACAGTGCGATCTGTGCAGAATGCTTAGATATTAACAGGATTTCTCATGGAACACAACTTGCTGCTAAGCGTTGATCCGTGATCACAGAGGACCATTGTTTCGGAAAATGTTACCAAAGTGCGAGGATGCGATGCGTGGCTGTACGGGTGCGGATATGTACGAGAGAAACTACCATCATCATGAAAACAGCTGCAGATGTCGAAAACACAATGGTAGAGGCTCTGAAACGCCATGCTTTCTAATTGCAGTAGATGGAAGCAATGACAGCGGGTTGCAAATGTTTCGATCTCGATAATAAACATCACCGCTGCAGTCTCCCAAATATTCGTGCTCCTAGGTTGGCAGGTACGGTGGTGTGATTTTCTGGACACAATCTTGCCCAATAAAAGTTACATCTAGGGTCGTGCAAATATTGAAACTTTCGAATATTTTTCGAACATTTACTATTAGATTTGCACTGGTATTATACTATTCAAAGCAATAGAGCTTACCAAAGACAAATAAAGTCAACGTCCGAATGGCAGTGGCCTCTTCAGAGTTTTTATATGCTTCCCCCCCATCACATTTTCATATTGGAGCAAAGCTGCCTTTTAGGCTTTGCTATGATCGCACATGTCTCTAGAAAATGCTAGTTCCAACTTGGAAATGAAAACGTGGCAGAGGGGTTTAATACCGTTTTAGACCTGAAATTTGGGCAGACATTCTGAAGGATTAGACGCCGGAGATTTTTAGCACTTGATATTACAGATGTTCTTATATGTTGATGTCTATAAGGCAGATTAGGGAACCCTGAATTCGAAGAGAGCACACCTTTGCCTTTCCGAATCAGTTGGGCCTCTGCAGAAGTTGAAGGAGGAGGAGAGGTGGAGGAAATGGCCTCTTTTCCTTTGACATATAATGTGTTGTGACACCACATTGGTCACACGAAATCATAAATAAATACAGTTCGCTCTCTGCAGTGTCTCATCCTTGACAAAACAACTAGGGAACACCTATCCCTCCAGCAGTTCATCAACCTAGCCAAAAAGAAACACTTTCATGTTCCTAATATTTCTAATACTTCGAAGTATTAGAAGAATATTAATTAAATATTCAACAACTATTTGTAAAATATTTCAGTCAATTTTCGCTCAGACTTGACTATTTGAATTTGCTGCTCACCAAGACTCTGCTATTCTCGTAGCTCTAGTTCCATCTTCAACGGTCTGACTGACGGCTAACTTCACCATCACAACTGTGTCACCCTAGTGTTGGCGTCTTCAGGTGTGGGAAAGGGAGGGCGCATGAGGTGGCACAGAATCGCACTTATACGTTCCTCACTTATACGTTTCCTTGCCTATAATGCTCCCGGCATCCAACCTTATAGGCACCCTTGTATTGCAATGCTCCTTTCATACATTTCTGCAACTTTCGCTCCTTTCACACTCGACGCAGCGAAGCAGTGGCTAGGGTGCTCGACGGCTGACCCGAAAGTTGCGGGTTTGATCCCGGCCGTGGCAGTCGCATTTCGGTGGAAGTGAAATGATAGAGGCACGAGTACCGTGCGGCGATTCAACCACATGGTCGAAATTCCTCATGACCTTCACTATTACGTCTCTCGTACTCATATCTTCGTTTTGGGACGTAACACCCCAGATATTATTAACTTTCCTTCCCGACACGTTGCGAACTGCGGGAAATGCAAGAACGCTTGTGTACTTACATTTATGTGCACGTGAAAGAGCCCCAGGTTGTCAAAATAATTGTACTCCACTACTGCGTGCCCAATAACCATATCGTGCATTTTGCATTTCGAAGCCCTTTATTCACAGTCTGACAATTGTTACTGCAGCTGTTATGCGTGACATTCTATACTTGTGCAAACTCTAGTGTTACTTTTGTACATTAGGTCCTGCCTCTGTAAATTTTTTCTTTAATGAAAGAGGGAGGTAGGGCTAGTTTTAGAATACTGTGGCTGGTTCTTGAGAAGTAAAACTTCTTTTGGGCCTAGTTGGTTCATAGCCATAGAATATACTTTTACAGCGCAAACATAAAACGATCCACAAAGAAAGCGACGACACACACCAGCGCTGACTAACAACTGACTTTATTTCGGGATATGTCGATGCATAAATACCTCCTGGGCAACCTCACCGCACATGCGCCACACATCTCGACAGATAACAGACACTCAAAGGAACAATCAGAGTTGACAAAAGAAGAAGAAACCGTGTATCACATACGTGATGAAATGAACTGAAACTCAGATGGGAGCAGCGTCAGAGACGTGTCGCTTATACAAAGCTGAGCCCTTTTTCTGATATGATAGGCTTCCAAAGCCAGCAGCGCATGTTCATTGTTACTCCTGCCAAGGATCGACGTCCCTTCAAAACGTGGCTCACAATTGCAGCAAGAATTAATATGAGCCACAAGATGGGCTCCTTTATCTTCGTTCTTGTTAACTTTTTGAGCGTGTTCCCTGAGCCGCTCAAAAAGTTAACAAGAACGAAGATAAAGGAGCCCATCTTGTGGCTCATATTAATTCTTGCTGCAATTGTGAGCCACGTTTTGAAGGGACGTCGATCCTTGGCAGGAGTAACAATGAACATGCGCTGCTGGCTTTGGAAGCCTATCATATCAGAAAAAGGGCTCAGCTTTGTATAAGCGACACGTCTCTGACGCTGCTCCCATCTGAGTTTCAGTTCATTTCATCACGTATGTGATACACGGTTTCTTCTTCTTTTGTCAACTCTGATTGTTCCTTTGAGTGTCTGTTATCTGTCGAGATGTGTGGCGCATGTGCGGTGAGGTTGCCCAGGAGGTATTTATGCATCGACATATCCCGAAATAAAGTCAGTTGTTAGTCAGCGCTGGTGTGTGTCGTCGCTTTCTTTGTGGATCGTTTTATGTTTGCGCTGTAAAAGTATATTCTATGGTTCTTGAGAAATTACTCTGTTTCATACGTCAGCTGCAATGCTGTGGAGGCTGCCAAGCCTTCTTGCAGTCAATGCGTTCGCAACAAAAAATAGTTCTATATTCTTGCCACCAACAACGGAATTTTTTTATTCGTTATTACAGCGAGAATTGAAAAAATATATTAGGTAGCTTACGAACAAAAATGGTGTTAAATGTCTGTTATTATGAACTTTGATAGCTTAGTTTGCATGTTACGTCATGTACAGGCTCTCTGTGCTGGGTACATGACGATGGCGGCCATCTGCAATTTCTATCTCACGAGACAGTGTCAGTGCAGGGGCGGACAGACAGTCCTTCAGTCCCCGCATTCTTTTGTGCTCTTCCCACTTTCTTCTGTTTGTCAAACGCGCTAAGGGGTAGCACAGAGAAAAGCTAGGGTGCACAGGCACTAAGTCAGATGACACGCAAGTGACTACGAGGCGCGCAAAGTTGTACGTTTCGCTGACCGAACTTCTTGCACAGCTTCCGCATAGTTGCAGCCGACCTGTGAAGCGTAGTACATACGGCATTACTGCTTGTATTCTGAATTCGGTGTGCTCGTTTCTTGCCAGGTGCTGCCTCTGGCGTTGAAGCGTCTCGACGGCTCGGCATGCAGCGCAGCGATTGCATGCCAGGCCCTCAAGCAAACATTTGTTGCCTTGGCGGAGCACCTCGTGAGCCATGCTGAAAACTCGTCTGCAGTCTGGAATTGTCTCAAGGTTGGTCAATATTGCCTTTTCAAGAAGGTGCAAACATTGAAAACTTCTACACAGTGAACCAAATTCACATTTCTATACTTCTCTACAAGTACATGCACTCGAGCCTCGATATAACGAACCCGGATAAAAAAAGATGCCGGTTATAACGAAATGAATGAAAATTATTCTTGCAATATAGTGTTAGGAATAAACCTTTATAACAAATATTTAATTATAACAAACTTATTTTCTTGTAAGATGCAACTTTGTTATAATAAGGTTTGATTGTATATCTATTCATTATTTATTCCCTTATTGCTTTCTGTAATCTCAAAAAAAAAAAAAAAACTTCAGAACTTTTGTATTGAAGCATTCTGTACACTACTCCGAGAAGTCTGCATAATTTCTGCATAATTTTACAGAGCAAACATGAATTTCATATAAATGAAAATTATTCTTGCAATAGAGTGTTAGGAATAATTCTTTATAACAAATATTTAATTTGACAAACTTATTTTCTTGTAAGATGCAACTTTCTTATAATGAGGTTTGAATGTATATATATTCATTATTTACCACCCTCTTATTGCTTTCTGTAACCTCAAAAAAAAAAAGAAAACTTTTGAATTAAAGCATTCTGTATGCCATTCCGAGAAGTCTGCATAATTTCTGCATAATTTTATGGAGCAAACATGAATTTCATATGAGTTTGCTACCAGTCCTGCAGATAACATGAAATTATTTCTCTGCATATGGAATGCTTGCAATAGAAAGTTTTTGACGACCTGTACATTGATTGTATCTTATATAACAAGTAACGCAGCCTTGAGATTCATGCACCGAGGGCAAAATAAATTTAAAAGATACATGCAAAGAACTTCAATTTACGAATCCAAATGTTCCAAACTGAAAATGCAGTGGTTGGCACCACTGGCACCTAAGAGGTGCCTGACCTTAGCAATTTCACCTAACAATGGTGCAAGGCAAGAAGAGAGAAATTTGCATGCGTTAGTTTGGACGAAACAGTCAGCACAGGCATACTATTGTTAGTGACTGAAAATGTGGCGAAATGGTGCTGTTCATATTATTATCAAGGATCGACAGACTGAATCGAAATTGCAAATGCCAGAGCTTGAATTATTGTTGTAGTGAGCTCGAGGAAAAAAAATTGTGCTTTGTTTCATTGCAGGAGGCTGTCGTGGAAGCTGTGGGGAAGTACAAATCTGTCAAGGAATCCGGCAAAGAATCCAATGAGGAATTTGGGAAGGTTCTGGCACTCCTGGAAAATGTGGCCACTATCTTGAAGATCTGGGTCTTGTTCAAGAGGGGTCTCCTGGTGCGGAACAACGGTGCAGTCCACGAGGTACCTTTGTGTGCCAGCCTAATTGTGCCTTATGCGGTTTACTTTAGCGCTTGCTTTCTGTCACTGCTTAGTGATGACAGGAGTGTAAGGCAAGATGGGGGTGCTTAAACAATAAAGCAGTTGTAGACGTGAGGTCGCTAGCCACATCCATTTTAGGGGCGAAGATTCTAATGGTCAAAGCTTGTCCGTTGGCGTGTGGCATTGTACGTCGTACCTGCTGATGACGATGAACAAGAAGTGCATTCCAGACCACACATTTCCTATCTGCCATCACAGCACAGCACATGCAAGGTACCCACCACACGCCATCACAATGACACTGATGACTATGATCACAGATGACTGGCTTGTGCTGTAGATGTTGCTCGATGCGAATCGTATGACTGGAAATGGCCAACAACCAGCAGGAGAACGTTCCTAGACCTCGTATTTGCCAACTTCGGGCTAGATACGATACCACGAGGCAGTAATAATGAAGGCAAAACAAAATTCACAAATCGACACAACATAACAGTTATGACTAATAAACATTGTATGTAACTGTACACCACTTGACACTCATTTACATATGTCAGTGGTCAAAGTCATGAGTAACATTGAACAATTCCACTGCTTCGCCCTCTCATCATCATTCATTTTGTGGTTATCCCGTGATTTTTTTTTTAAATAGCGCAGTATAAATACATGGACTATGGCCCTTATTTCTTATTCATAATTTTTTAAAATTTTCTATTCTATTAAATTTGTGCAGGGATTTTGTAAGTTCTTCATTGGTATTCAGAATGCTATTTCTTGATAATCTTGAGTAAAGTCAAGGTCTTCAAAAGCGTGGTACATCTCGCAACAGGAGTTGCGAGATGGGAGATGGTGGTAGATGGACGCACGGATGGACGGACAAACAGACTATCAGACGGATGAACGCACGAACAGACGGATGGACGAACTCACGGACGCACGGACAGATGGGAGGACGCATGAATAGTTGCGTAAACGGATGGAAGCAAAAACGGACGGACGGAAGCATGCACGGACTAATGGGCGCTTCAGCCCACTCATCATCATTCACTCCGTGGATATGCTGTGATTTTTTTGTTTATTTTTTATGCACTGTTCTGATGATCAAAGTTGAGGTGTTTTGATTTGTGTGTACAATTTGTCCTATCTGTAATTTGTTGCTGGGCAGTTCTCCTGTATTGTTGCATTTTACACTCAAACCTTATAATAACAAAATAGCATGTTACACAAAAATAAGTTTATATCCGAAAATTTGTTATAAAGGTATATTTCTAACATTGTATCTATTGTAAGACCATTTTTATTTACTTTTTTTAGCCGGTATTTTGTTATATCCATGTTTGTTACAATGAGGTTTGAAGGTAGTTCAACTCCGGCTGGGGCCATGTTGGCCCTATGGTATTCTAAAATAAATAAATAAAAAATCTTTGGGTCAAGCCAGACCTACCGGAACGGTGGGTTGCTAGCCCCTTTGCATCAGCACTAACAGTCAGAACCTTGATTCCAAGTCCGAACCATGATTCGCGATTACAGCCAAGAATGAAGTTGGTTTAGCACTTGTTTTTCTTGTCAGTGTGTTGTTGTTTCACTGACTCCCGTGTTTACTGGTTAATGCATTTGCAGATTCTGGGCTTGCCTGCTTGAGCTTGGTGAAGCATCACCAGCGTTGACAGCAACACTTCTGGAATGCTTGGCTTCGTTGGTCAAAAATGGCAGCAGTGCCGTGAGCCCATCCTCTGGTCTTGTCAGCAGACTTGTTCAACAGGTGAGCTCGTGGTCACTTAAAAGGGGCCCTGCAACACTTTGATGGTCAGAAAACGTTTCCAACCTGTATTTGAGGATCCTGAAAATGTGTGAGCCAAGCTTTATATCGCAGCACATGACAGGTAATTCAAAATGAAACATTGTAGGTGGCTGGAAATTGCTTGTTCTTCTGTGGACAAATGATGCTATGAGTTTGTATGGTAGCATTGTTCATAGCAAAAAGGCATACGTCAAAAAGGCAACCATAGCAAAAAGTCAACCAGCTTGGCATGAAAGGAAATGGCTTTGGGCAAAATTTTGTTTCAATTTGTGGCCGTGTCAAGCACGGCACCTAAGACTTTCAGCGCAAGGGAAAGCTTTCCGACACAGCTTTTATGTTCTTGATATATGTACAAGGTGCTGCAATCTGCACACATCTGTGACATTGTCTGACACTTCGTTCAAATGTTTGCAGGTCTACTCTGGATTATTCTCCGCAGGAAATGTGATAGAGTTCACCAATCAGGTCGTCGAATCTGCAGCTTTTGAAAAGGTATGCACATGGCAAAGACCAGGCTAGTTTTGCTGTGCTTCATTCATCATGATGTGACATCATTGTGGTGGTATTGCAGCGATGCCAAAGTGTCACTACAAACACCCAAAAGAGATGCTGCCACCTTTGGGTGCTCGTTGCGATGGTTGTTGTGACATATGAGAATCAGTTTAACGTTGTCACAATGATGTCACTATGAATGAAGTACAGGCTTTGTTTATACATGTTTTTTTTGATGAGAAATACAATGGGGGTGCCGTGTTGTCTTCTCTTTTCAGGATGTGCTCTGCCATGTGGTTAGGCACTGCTCTAGCTTCGGCGACAGGACTCACGCGTTATCTATTTTGGCTGAGGTGGTCGTGAGAAGGAGGCCGATGCCGGCCACTGCCGACGAGCTGTTACGATCCTGGAGACCTCTGCCCCTCTGCACCTCAGATGACACAAGGCAAGCTTTTCCTGGCACACAGCTCTGTTTCTGTACTGTCACATCTGCCACAAAAATAACTTGGTCGTATCCAAAGTTTCGTTATAAACATAGTTTTGTCCCATTGTATTAACGGCAAGACTCTATTTACTTCGTTTTAACCACTAATTTGTTTTATTCGGGTGTGTAATATCGAGGTCTGAGTGAGGTTTGACAGTGAAGAACGTAAAACCGAAGCCGATGATGATGCAACTTTATTGGGAAAACTTGCCTCAGAAAAGAAAGGCTCAAAGTATGATCTGCACTGACTGTAAAATATCAGCTAGCATGGATGTCAGTTGTCCATGTCAGTTGTCCATAATCTTATCACTGGTGGAACACTTATGCCGCACGTGAACCCTAGAAAATAATTAAATTATGCTATTGCTAGGCCTCGCACTAGCTTCTAATCATCTCGGCTACTCATGTAGTGTGCGTAATCTTATCTGAATAGTCTAAAACAATGGAGAACTTTCCTGAACATGGTGGTGCACCCTATACTTGGTGATGCACCCTGAACACAGGGGGTGGAACGCGACCACATCAAGAAGTTTCTTTGGCAATAACATTGAACCTTGATATACACTTGTTTTTATGTTCAAGGATTCCTTTTACATCAACTTTTTTGTCTAATGTGAGTGGTTTGTTCAGAGTGCTTTCCAAGAAGTCTGCGTTGGAACAATCTGCCTATAACTACTGCTTCTCTGTTCACTTCTGTTGCAATGAACAAAGGCCTTCTTGTTACTACCTACAGTTCGAAGCATTGCATATTCAGCATCATTTGTGGCATATGCGGTACCGCTTTATCTTTGGTTAGTCCCTCAAGGACATTCACTATTGGAGCAGCAGCTGCATGACTGCAGTGAAGTTTTTGTTTGTGCTCAAAGCGATATGTACTATTCATCTGCTGTCATCTCTCTCTTTTTTTTTTAAGAAAAGATGTGTATCAAGTAGATGCAATGAATGAACCTTAAACAGTTTCTTGGGATTATCAGCACGCAATCAATGTGCTAGTTCGTAAACAGATATTTGTAATCTATTTTGCTGCTTGTGACATTATTAGGTTGAATTATGACTTCACAGTGGAAAGTCATTAAAAGTCAACATATTGTCACGGGGTCGTGACATGGACGAAGGGAGCAGAGCTCAGGTCGAATATGAAACTGTTTATTCGGGGCGAACTTGTGTTCACATAGAAAGGAAGTCAGATTACAGCTAGATACTGGCACTGATGGCGGCGAACAGAGTGTCGGCTGTCAATCAACTGACTAGCGGTGAAGCGCGTCGGCCTTTTAAACACGTGCTGTTGAATATTCTAGCGATATTGCTAGCGGCTACGTAGGTTCCAAAATAATCTAATGTTCGCGAAGTGGGCCTAATCTTAACAAACCGATCTGCCACAGTCTCGAAGGTTCTCGAACACTGTAGGCGCAGTTTGCGCTGAACATAGTGTAGTGAGACGATAACAAATTTAAGGAAGGAATGGGGCTATATATATATAGGTTTATATTAATTAATAATTAGCGAATCGGCACGAGGAGACTAGTTGGAGCCTGTAAGGTAATGTGCACATCAGCGGTGGCGGATTCAATTAGTGCTCCTTTGTCATGGTAGAAAATTGAAAAAAAGTGAAGAAGTGGAGGGAATTTCAGCATTTGGAATTTCAGACGTCCTTTACGTTGGCACTGTGGGTTGCCACAGGGCAGGACTGCATATATAAATCTAAAATATAGGGCACGTCTAGAAGAATTGCATGCGATTGACTTTATACCAAGTTTTTATTGTGGAACTGCATAACAAGTGTTGTGTGCAACTCAGTTTAAGAGATTGCACAAGAACATGTCTTGAAGGGTGACGTTTTATATGTCTCGAACTTTGCAGGGAAGACGTGGTATCGCTCGCAGAGGCTGTTCTCGAAGCCTTGGCCAGGGACGTGGCTGACCCTCTGCTTTGGGCTGGTCTGGTCTGCTTGTCTCACCTAAGGTGCGTGAGCAATACTCTTTTAGTGCATTAGCATTCCAAGTGTGCGCCGATGTGTTTAGGTAACAGCGTGACTGCTAAACAAAACAAAAGGAATGGCGCAGAAGGGATGTATGTGACAACAGTTGCCATAAGACCTTCTGTGCTTACTTGACAGTCGCCTGCAGGGCCGTTCTCTTTGGGAAGATTCCTCGCAAATTTTTTTAGCTATTGCTGGTGGCATATACAGCTCAGACTTTCAGTGATTTTTGGTTCAATTCTTAATTGCGAGATGAAAGGGCGAATCACTGTACGGTACGGGCTAAGGTGTGCCACTGTTATTTCACATGTTGTAGGCCCGTGTGCTCAGATTTGGGTGCACGTTAAAGAACCCCAGGTGATCTAAATTTCCGGAGCCCTCCACTACGGGTCTCTCATAATCATATAGTGGTTTCGGGACGTTAAACCCCCACATATCAATCAATCAACTGTTATTTCACATGCTCTGTACGTTCCGATTTGTGAGGCGTTCTCTGGCCCGTGTCAACATTGCTATTGTTTTAGAGGGCATAGTCTTGTGGTGACATATGAGACAAGAAAGGTTAGAACTGTGTGCATCACAAAAATATAATTGAGGGGGCGACGGTATCTTTCGTGACAACATGCGAGCAAATGAATTGCCAGTAAAACCTCGTTACAACAAACTCGCATCTGAAACGAAAATAGCTTTGTTATATCTGAAAATTTTCTTATAAGTGTACGGTATTGATAACACTATATATAGCAATGTACTTTCTCCTTTAATTTCGTTGTTATCTGCATTTTGTCATAGCGAGGTTCGACTGTACTTGGTGGACTTCCAAAGTTGTGTGATGCATATGCAAGGCAAAAGCCGTGAGGACTCTACAGTCAAATGATAAATTAGTTCAGACAGATGAATTTTACTCCGAAGACCCTGGGACAGTGCAATTGACTGAGAAGGTTTAGGTAATTTCGTGCATGCCTCATGTCCTGCAAGAAATCTGGCCCCCGATTTTATAAGTTAATGCTTCGCCATGTGTGCAGCAGGCTTTTGCCTTCAGGTGTGACAGAGCGTAACATGCTACTCAATTTTTCTTTTCCTTTTTAGCAATTGGGGTGACATAGCGGAGATGCAGAAAGCTGTGGACAAAACTGTCCAAAAACTCAGAGATCGTTTGCTGCAGGAAACGCTGCCTGCGTCGTCTGCTGCGCATTTCTCATTTGTTTTCCTTCACGCCCTGGCCACTGCTGCCTTGTGCAAGTTTGAAGGCGCTCTGAGCAACATCACCTGCGACGTTTTAGTCAAGATTCTCAGGTACGGAGGGGAAGCTATCATTGGCCACTGTCTTCTGTAATACAGTGAAGTGCCTTCTTTTAAATCTTTGGTCAATTTGATGCAACTTGCTTAGTTCATACACCAAAATCTTGTTATGATAAATTAGCGCCTGGCACAAAAATAACTTTGTTATATCCTAAAATTTGTCATAAAAATATGTTATAATTGTATACTTGTAATGCATATGACAAGATCATTCATTTTAACCAATAGTTCATTACATTCATCATCAATATATTTATGCCTGTGTGTGTATGTTCATTTGCCTATTTTTAATATGCAGCTGTGTTCTTAGTGCAGTATACAGTTTATAAAATATGGAGCATTCGTTGTGCACTTTTGAGAGCTTGATTTTTCTTAAATAGGGAGGAATGGAAATCATCACATCACAACAACCTGGAACGAGAACTGTATGTAGTATCAAAACAAGAATGGATGTTCTAAACCACTTCGAGCAAAAGTTGTAGTATGATGAGCATGTCACGCTGAAATTTCATGCACCAGTGTTTAACGTACCATTATGTTTGTTCAAATGAGTTTAGAATGTCTGTTCTTGTTTTACTAGATATACTTTTCTTTCCACGTTATTACGCAGTGCTGATTTACTTTGTGACCAATTTTTTTTTTATTTTAGAAAAATTCCTGCTTTTAAAAGGCACACAGTATGTTTCATATTCTAAAAGAAAAAAACAAGCCCATTGTACCAGAGGAATAAATGCACATTTGGATTCAGCGCATATATATGTGCCGCTATATGTTGTAGATGGGCCATGCATTTATTCTAGTCACACGCTCCTCTTTCTCGTGGCTTCTCAGCAAGTTTCTTCCTTCAATTTGTTTGGGTTCGTGGTGTTGGGCATTGCAATCGTCTTCACTTATGCTGCACAGATGTAAAAAAAAAAAAAACCAAGAAAAAAAAATGTATCTCTTTTTGTCTTCGTTGCTCAACAGGCAATCGCCCAAAGATGTTTGCCTGCTGAAAGCAGCGGACATTGTCTTGGTCCATTCAGCCAGCCAGGAGCAAACTACGCCACAACCACAGCAGGAAGCGCTGCTGAGGTCCTTCTATGGTGTCCTCGAACGAAACCTTGCATCACCTCATGGCGTTGTACGTCTATGCTCTCTTTCTCGTTTTTGTTTGCATGTAAATTATACAGTGTGCCTGTCTTCATTGGTTGTAGCAAGGAATACTCTAAAACCTCATTATAACAAAGTTGCATCTCGTAAGAAAATAAGTTCGTTAAAACCAAAAATTTGTATACAAGTTATTTCTAACACTTATCTATTACAAGACCATTTTTTGTTTACTTCGTTATAATTGGTGTTTCGTTATGTCCATGTTTGTTATATCAAGGCTTGAGTGTATATTGCTAACACTATACCTGTCGCAAGACTATTTATTATTTACTTCGTTATTGCCAATATTTAGTTTTATCTAGGCTTGTTATATCGAGGTTTGAGTGTAATGCAGAACCATCAATCTGTGGTTTTTTGTACTGCAGGTTTGTGAAGCGAGTGTGTTTTGCAATCTAACTTGTGGGATCATAGTGATTGTGCTTGGAGTTTGCTGTGCAGTAGAAAAATGCGATTGTCTGGTAGGGTAGTGGCACTGTGTGCAGAGGACCAACCAAGCATTGAATGTGGCTCCGCTTTACGTGGCGTGTTGGCAGGAGGTGATCTTAGAAGGTAAAGCCGACCCTTACATGCTTTGTCAAAAACCCAAGGAAACTTGCTGCCTGGGCGGAAGAAGACCTTTAATCGTCAGTAGCTCCCTCAATTCGAGGGCCTTAGGACATAACTAACTGGCTGACCTCCCTATCCTTCCGTTTTTTTTCTCCTCTTCCTCCAGCTGTAGCTAAATGTAGTAGTTTAGGGGATCCTTTAAAATGACCAATCTGTTTGTTGTACTGGTGTTCTTTGCCCATGTTCATCTTGTTTCGGAGGACATAAAGTTATAAGTGATTGTGATGCTTTTTTTCTTTTCTTTTTAGGTGAGGCTTTTGACATTGCGGGTGTTGTCTGCGTTTAGGCCCGAGGTCACTTTGGAATCCCGCCAGAAGGACGAAAAGGCAACTACTGCTTTTCCGATACTTTAGATTGTTTCATGAAGGATGGCCTACGGGACATTATTCGATTCGTTTACCTCCTTATTTTTGCAGTACCTGTATATGAATATCTAAACAATCTTACTATAATGTTGTGAAGCATTGGCTGGTATCTCGATATCCTAATGTTCGCTCTCATTTCAACTTCGTACCTGCCCGTGTGAATAACGCCTTATACAAAAAGTGGCATATTTCCAGCTGGGAGAATTTGCCTCGGCTTGTCACGTCTTCAACGCGTGCCTCAACGCGGAGGCCGTGTCCCTGACGGTGCAGGACTACCGGCGGAGGCTCAAGCTGCTTCAGGCGCTGAGCTCCGAGCAGCTCATAGCAGCCGGCGTTTCCCTGGGTGCTTACTCAATGGTGAGTGCTGTCGATGCATCTTCCATTTTGCTTGTTATGAGTTACAGATTTCAGCGGTGGTGGCGTAGTGCACAAAGAAACCGGGCCTTGCAAGTGTTCAGAATGCAGCCTTCAAAGATGTGCCAGACACATGCGTATTTGTATGCTCCGCTTGCCGATAATTGACGCTCTCTCGATCGTGAGCTTATTGGTGATCAGCTGTTTGGGATGCAGCAATCTGATCTTTATTGAAGTCATTTGTCATTTCCCATTGCCACATGATCGTCGCATTAACTATTTCATGCATGACTGTTTCTGTTGCCGGGAAAAGTAGAAGAGTTGCCCTGCTAACAACATGGAGGAAGGTCTGATTCTTGGCATGGAAAAGAAAAATAGTTTGGGGGAAGCATTGCACTTTGCGTGATAACAAAAAAAAGTACAGGCTCAGCGAGCCTCACTTGCCCCCTTTTTGTCTTTAGCAGAAGGGCTGCTGACTTTTTTCATGGCTATCATACATTGTTGTGAGATTACGCTAGAGACGAGCATCAGAAAGGAAAGTTTAATGGGGAAGCTGAAGTTACAACAAGCTTCTGAAGCACTTGCACTATTGCTATGACTACGTTAGTTATAACTATTTCTGTGGCTTTAAGTTTATTGTGGATTGATGTAGCCTGTAAAAAGCAGGTTAACATAGTTAAAATGATGCCGAAAGCAATGCACTTTTTATCTCTGCAAAAAAAAAAAAAAAAACAAATGTCACTAAACATCACCACAGAACAACGTTCAGTGGTGTTGTTTTGGTGCGATCTCAGTTGACCATATAATATTACACTCAGATTTGATATAACGAATTATTGGTTGGTTCTATTGTAGTAACTGAAGAATAGCTTTGTCATAGATACAGTGTTACAAATACTCACTTATAACAAATTTTCGGATATTACAAAGTATTTTCGTGGCAGATGTGACTGCTATAATAGGGTGTGAGTGTACTACTTTCACGTGAATTTGTGCGAGTTGGCCCTGAATGCGTTGTTGTCTCTGAGGAAGAATGGCCTCGATATGTAATAGGGGTGTGCGCTTTGTCATGCTGCCTTGTTGCAGTTTCCTGGGCCAAAGGTGTTTACTAATTCCTTCCGCAAAAAGATTGTAATCAGATTTTACATTTTTCCCAATTATTCTTATGTCAACTCCGAGCAACATAACAAGGCTCTTACTATAGTCACATTCAAGCTAACTGCTTCACGCTATATTTTTCAGGCTCCTGTCCACTACTTGCTGGGAACCCTTCTGGTCAATTTCCAGCTGCTCTGGCAACCGTGCCAGGAAATTCTCGCCAGTCATGCCACTGCTGATGGCCCTTTCTGGAGCACCCTTGTGCAGCATCTAACCACTGTGTACGACAAAATAGGTCAGTCGCAGCTTCGAACAGCAGGCATTCAGTTGACCTGGCTTGGTTTGTCGCATGTTGATAATGACTTTTACAGTAAAATCTCGTTTTTGCAAACTTCGGACTAACTTTTTTCTTGCCTGATGTTTTAATGCAAAGATATTTAATTATGACAAATTTTAGAACACATACTGTTTCAGAATTGCATGTCTAATTAGATTGTCCTTATCTCTCAGTAACCCTGTAAAATAATAAATGATATAATATGACCCTAAAAGATTACTTGTGCTGTTGTAAATCGATAATAAGGAATGGTCTCTTAACGCTGACGTTCCAAAGTGCATAAAAAAGAGAAGTGCTTTGAAGGGTTACTCTTACCGCAGTTGAACTGCTTTCATCAGGAAAGGATAATGGCAGTCTACAAATAAACACCCTACTCGTTCTGGAATGCTTTGCATTTTTTTTTTAAACCCAATGCATTCAGAGATGAAAGGTAGGTGACTTCTTTTGTTGCATCGACAATTTATAGCATAGGATTTTCTATTATCTCTCTACAATGATTCTTTAAAACGATGAACAACCTTTAGGAGTCCCTTCAGAGTTGTTGTATCGAGATTTGACTGCGATGGGTCCTGCTGTGATATTTGTACTCCTGTGCTTATCGCACTTTGCATCGTCGCATGAAGTGCTGTTTCCCGTTGGGTCATTGCCTTTTACGTTACTTACGAAAGATTTGGTCTGATATTTTCTGAGCTCGCAGGGTAACCGGCTACCTCAAAATCACTTTTTGTTCTCGCAGAGACTTCACTACCTGCCCCATCTGAAGACCAAAATGGCTTAGACAGTGTGGCCAGGCGAGGGACTCGCTGGTGTCTTCGGGGAAGCACTGGAGGCAGCCATGAAGTTGGAAGAGAAACCGGACTACGTCAACCATCGGCATTTGCTCTGGAAGGCGGCCGAGCAGTTTGCTGGAGTTGCGGAGAGACGCAGCAAGGATGTCGTAGTCTTCTTTTACAGATTTTTAGAGTGAGTGGCTTCGTGCTGTCTCCTGTATTTTGTTCCAGTTGTGCTTGTTTTGCTTTGGGTATGGATGAATTAATATTTATTCCAGTGAAATACAGTAGACTGGATGCGACAGAGCTGCTGTGCTGCTTTTTTGGTGCTTACGAGGACAGACTCAAAATAGCTGCTGCAGCTGGAAAAGCTGGAAAAGAGTCGGTGAAAGTCAATGATATTAAAAACCAATTTTTTTTTATGTGATCTGCCAGCTGGTGTGCTGAATTTGGCGGTAATAAAGTGCATTGTTCTTTATTATTTCGCTATTTTTTGCCTTCCGACGGCCGTTTTTTTTTTTGCTGGGCAGGACTGCTGTGATATTTGTTGGCGTGTACATTCTCTCTTGCTGACTAATTGTCGGTAGAAGTGGATACTGGCTATAACAAATTAATGGTTTTAATGAAGTAATTACGACTCCCCCTTCAACTTTGTTATAACGAGGTTTGACTGTACCGGGAAGCTACTGCGTTTGTTTTTCTATTGCAATGAAACTGCCGAGTAACGTACGTTAACACAGCAATGGTCTAGAATGTTAGACCAGCTTCCAGGTTCTCTTGCGCAATCTTATGGCCCCATCGTCCTTCTGATTCTCGCAGAAGAGAGTTCTGGCCAAACATGCAAATGGCACCGCATCACGACATACGGAGGCCGGAAGACACGCCCCTTTTGCCCTCCGAAGGCACGGAAGCCGAGCCGAAGAATACCGAAGAGGCAAGCGTCATCATTGTGGGTGTAGACGAGTTGCCGGAAGATGCGGAAGATGATGATGAGAATGCGGGATGACAGGGAGGACGTACGAAACGACGATGTCCCGATCGTACCCGTGCGAGCGCGGCTGAAGCTCGTCAGGTAACTTTTTTCTTGTGTTATACCTGAACACCTGTGATCATTCGAAATGGTTCTGTGCGAAGTTGGATGAATAAACTTTTTTTTTCTAATTCCAGGAGCCTCTGTGACCACCTGAGGCTTTTTTCCAAGTTCTCCAACCCACGAGCAGTTTCGAAGCATGAGCGCCTCTACGAGACTTTTCTCGATGTAAGTCTGTCGCATTGTGCTTGATGCTTTATTGCTCTAAGAAGCAAATAAAAGGTCACAGCTAAGTTATAACTCTTCCCCTCCTCCTTTCCTTTTCTGTGGTGGTTGTTAGGATAGTAGAACAGATGACGCACGGTGCACAGGTCTGTGTGATCTGCTGTGAAGAATATAAGTGGTCGTCAGGTTAGGTTTGAATGGTGAAAAATCAGGCTAATACTGTAGACTGCATTTGGTGGTGAAAAGCTTAGTAGTTCTTCACTACATCTGACTGATGCTGGAGATTCATCTGTCGTGATTCTCAAGTGAATGCAATTTTCGATGACCTTCTTCTGTCAACAGCTGCTGACGTTTAGGGATCCAGAAGTCCAGAAACTTGCTTTTGCTTGCATCGTTGCCTACGGCCAGAAGTTCTGACTCCTACAGGTTAGCATATTCTTTTTTATTGAGTCTGTAGCATGGCTGATGGATTCTGCTTGGCCGTTATTCAACGATAGTCGGAATAACCTGGGCTTACTCTTTATTTCTTTGTTTCGGTGCAGGGAGAACTTTGAAAGGCTTCTGGACGAGGCCAGCTTTCGATCAGAAGTTGTTCTTTCAACGTTGATGATGGTGGAGAAGGAGCAGTGCTGGCGGAGCACCGAGCCGATGTGATTCCAATCCTGATGAGGTGAGGGCTGGCCACACTACTGTATTGTTCAGTGGCATATTTTCATCTCTGCTTTTGAATTGCGGCATGCTGTATCGTCCTTGCTCCTTTTTGCACCTCAAGGGCTTGCTGCTCTTGTGCATACTATAGCAACAGTATGGTTCTCTTTGGCTAGGGTACTCTACGGCAAGATGCACATGCGCTCTGGTTCAGCGACCGGGGGCAAGACCACCTTCAGTGCTCGCCAGAGCACCGTGCTACGGTTCCTGGCAAGTTGCCGGGAGTCTGAACTTGGTGCATTCATGGACCTTGAGCTGGCAACTTTGAAGCAGTACCTGTCCGGTAAGTCTTTCAGCGTGTGCCGGGATGACTTTGCTGGATGTGACCTTCCAGCTTGCTTATCACTGAAAGAAGGAGAATTTAATAAGCCTTTAAATTCCCCTTCCCTCGTTCATTCATAGTGAGGGTCTCCTACGGGCAGACTGGATGCCTTAGGTATACGCTCAAACCTCAATTATAACTAAGTTTCATCTGATATAAAGGTACATTCTTAACACTATGTCTAACGCAGGACTATCCTTTGTTTACTCTGTTATAACTGATATTTCGTTAGCCGAATCCCTTTACAAGAGACACTGGTATAATAGACACCAGTGTGCGTACAGTAAAATACGGGTTTATAAGAAAATACATACGAGGTACCCTGCTTATAAGAGACCTGTCATATAAAAGACAAGAATTGCTACCCGAAGCATGCCTCTTATGAAGGGGTTTAGCTGTATCTGGTTTCGTTACATCAAGGCTTGAATTTATATGAGAGTTTATCGGTCAACTCCAAGCTCGTTAAAAGATACCAGCTATAAAAAAAATAGTGATTCCGCATGTCTTAATGGCTGCGAGCAGTGCGGGCTTACACACACGTTTATATGCACAGAATTACTCAAACCTCACCTATAACAAAATTACATCCTGCATGAAAATAAGTTCGTTATATCTGAAAATTCGTTATGGGTATGTTTCCAACACTATGTTCATTTCAAGACTATATTTTATTTGCTTCATTATAACTGGTATTTCGTTATATTCAGGCTCATTGTATCGAGCTTTAAGTGTGCACTCAAACCTCTATATAACGAACACGGGTATACCAAACTATTGGTTATAACAAAGTACATAAAAGAAGTCTTGCAATAGTGTTAGAAATAAACCTTTATAACGAATTTTCGAACATAACAAACTTATTTTGTGTGAGATGCTGCTTTGTTGTAATGAGGTTTGAGTGTACTTGGACTGAAACGTACGTGAAGCTGACCGCCACTGTCGCTTAATTCGTGTAGCACCGGATGCATTGTCCATAAGTTGTAGGCTTGGCCCCAATCAGTGGCAAATTCTCTTTTTGTTCACTTCGATTTTTTCACGCTTATATCATAGTTTCTCCAATAAGACTGCGAATAATGTCCGCTACACCTCTTCTGACTTCATTGCCGGTTTGTTTTAATTGAGGCGGTAGCCGTGACTGTGTGCTCCAGCGGTGCGTAGTAGCCTCATGAAACGTACTCAAAAAGGGTTTAGATTGTGATTTTAAATATGGTGTGAACACAATTTATTAGCTCGATGCATTGCCTAAATGAATGTATCTGCTTGAAGGTAAAGCTATTTCTTGATTTATGCAGGTGATATCACGGACGCGGTGAACAGCATCAGGAATACATTGGATCTTTCTAAAGTGGTGCCTGTTCGTCGCCTTCATGGGTGAGACTTTTGTAGCATCCTAATTTCTTTGTGTTATTCAAACACAAGAGCAGTGCGAGGAAAGATGAAGGCTTTTCTGAACTGTGAATGTTGCTTGAGCTGGTGTTTCGACAAGTGAACCGATCTGATGAAGTTTAATGCTCTTGTCTACTTCGGTGACTTTTTTTGTAAGATATGTCATGTTTCACTGGACTATATTATTCTGGAATTGCCACATTTTCATGATGTTAAACCATTCTACAGTTGATGGAATCATATAGCTTGCTCAAATTGAGCAGTTGCTTTCAGCCTAAATAATACTGCTCTATTCTGACTCAACGTTTTCATTCTCATTCAATTGTGCATAAATCTTTTTTTCTTCTTAGTTTTGTTTTTAGAAACATGTAGTGTACAATTCCAGTCTAGTCGCCTGAGTCACCTAAAAAGTCGGCGCAAAAAAATGCCACTCTGTGCAGTACGTTGGGCACGGTGGAGAACATGCTGCGGCACCTGGGTGCCCTCACACCCGGCTTGCTACCCGCGCTTCTCAAGCTGCTCGTTGCTGTGGCCACCTACGCTGGAGCCATCCTCTCGCAGAAGGACCGGGTTGTGCGTGCAGTTATCGGCAACACTCGTGTCCTGAGGTCGCGGGTGATCAGCCTAGTTTCTCAGGTTAGTGCGTTGTGGGTCACCCCTTTTTGCTCGTGCAGCGGTGCCAAAACGGTGCAACACTGGAATAGCACTCTTTGGGGATGTATTCTTGTCACGCAAGGATAGTTATCGAGCTTGCTTCTGTTTTTTGAAAAAAGATGTGCGCGCTGCTTCTCAGTCAAGATTGCTGTTGCATACGAGCAGTATGTTTACATATTTAACTTGCAAATACTAGTTGTGCATCATCAAAGCAAACAAATGCATGCATAATTAATTACTTATATACTAAAAAAATTATTCAGGGAAAGTTGCTTGAGGAAGAAATAGTGTAATGTACATGTTGACACTGGTTTTATTCTCTTTTGGAAGTTGTAACATGCTGAATGTGTCAGCCTGTAGGCTGTGCTTTTTTTAAATAATAGAATGCGTGTGATGCCTTCTGAAAAAAATTGTCATCATACTCATTCTACAAAGCAACAACCACCTCTATATAGGAGGTATTCATTGTGCTCCTCCTGCCACGCAGTGCCAGCAAGTGTGTCGCCTTAGCTGTGGTCGTTAATGGTCGTCGAGGGATCCAAAGTATGACAGCCCGATGTTTGACGGCACTGCACTGCGCTACGCCGTTTTCATAAAGATATCAAAAGCACGTGCTGCCGAGAGCTTTGGTTGTAATCCGACTGTGAAGCTGCTGTGCTGGCGCTTCTTGCGGATGATGTCACTGCAACACCTCCTTGGGGTTACTGACATGAAAATTTTCAGTTGCCATTTCATTTATTATTTTTTTGTCAAATGAAAAATCAATTTTTCAAGAGCCTATAAAACATACTGGTAAATGCGAGTGCACCCTGAAAATCTATTACAACATGAAAAAAATTGCATGTTTCGGTTCCTACTGTACCCTGACCTCTTGACGTGTCATGAAACATACAATGCGATGGGGGACACAGGAAAGAAACACGCATGGCGCTGACTTGCAACCTGACGATACGTCAGTGCCTTGTGTGCTCCCTTCCTGCGTCTCCGTCGACACTTCCACTGCGTGTCTCATGATACTTTATCAACAAGCCCCAGTTTGCTCTATTGTCTTGACACGGTATGAGTGCCTCGTCACGTGCTTGCAGCAATATATAGTTTCCTATAAACACACTAGAGAGAACTCTGGCGCTAGTGTCTATGGGAGCTGCAATACGTGGCGCTTCAGTGAGCATGGGAATGATGGGTAGTACACGGATTTGCCTAATTTTCATACTTTCGGCTCTGTTTGGCTTGGCGTGGCCTGGAGCTGCCTTGTCACGAAGTAGAAAATCTGCAAATGTTCAGCAGTTGCACTTCACCACCTTAGTCAACCTTTCAGGCTCACCATTTCAAATCGGGCCACGAAGTTCAAGAGGGTTCGTTCTTTCTTTCGAAACAAAACCAAAGCCCAGCAATAAACAAAGCCACAGGTGTGCATGAAGTCCGCAAGTACGAGGACTAGGCAAATCCGTGTTCTACCCACCATTCCCATTGTGGCAGAACAATCTAGTGCCAGACTCTCTAGTTTAGTTTTAACAAACCCTATGCTGACAGCCATGGGCTTGCAGCTCGCAGATTCACAGGCAGCAATTTTGAATGCTTTTCGTGATGTGGAAGCAGCCATTTTGTGTTGTGCTTGAATCTGCACCTGATTGTCATCACAGCCAGCCACGCTGGCGCGTGGAGTCATCCAGAATTGACGTTGAAGCTAGTGTCCTGCTAGTGTCAGTGGGTGCGTTATGACTATATGTAAAACTGAAATGGCCTTCTCAGTGTTTACTGACATTCACACTTGCTCTGTATACAACCGACTTGTATGACTGAGCAAACTCTCTGCCGAAAACTGATGTAGGTACTTTTTTTCCATTAAATGTAGCACAAAAGACACACAGGAGGAGAAAACAAACACATTGCCTTTTCTGTGTCCCATGTGCTACGTTTAATAATGAAGTATTACTAACTCGCCCAGCAAGATGCCCTTCCGAAGTACTTTTTTTTAACGAGAGACTCAATTCTGGGGTGCAGTTATAAGCTGTGCACGGAAAGCAGGCATTTGGCAACAGCTTTGCGTTAGTTACTTTGCTGTAACTTGCAGTTCTTTAGATTGGTGAGACGGCCACATTGTTTTTTTGTGTGTTTTATTTTCTCCACGGTGTCCCCGCAAATGATGATGCTTGCAACCCTGAAGCAGCCCTTCGTGAGGTTTGGCTCTGGCCTGCCTGCGCGATTCACATAACTGAGCGAAGTGAAAGCTGCCTGTGAATCTTGATGCCCCAGCCTCGAGCATTCTGAGCGGGGCGTTGTAAACACAGGTGCACACAGTACACTCGGCTGTGGCATCTCTGCGCGCGTTTCGTGCGCCCTGTCTGTTGTGAGATACGTCGACAGGCTGGGCCGGACGATGCCACAGCGACAGCTTGGTAACAAGCACTTGTAATTTAATGTACGGGCTCTATGATGGCAACCTTTAGTAATCTGATGCGGGGCAGCCGTGTTTGAGAAGAATAAGGTCGTGGATTAAGGAGCAGCAGTACAGAAAAGTTGGCTGCTGTTCACTGTTAAGTGCAAAGCTTGCACACACAAAAAAAAGATGGCCTACAGATAGATTCACCTTTTCAGGTATAGTCTATATACTCTGTCTCACTTGAAAAACTTTTGATAATTTTTTTTTCTTATTGGCTGCTACGTGTCTTTAAAAAGTGTCAATGCCACGGGCCCTTTCTACAGTGCCAATATCTTTTGCCTGCATGTGCGATGTAGGATGCACAACAAATCCCCTAATTCATACGGACCACTGACACCATAATGTAAGGTATTAAAAATCATGCCCTATAAAAAGTTCGGCAAATTTCACCTTGGGAATTGATGTTATGCGACGTGTGCGGCTGTAAGGTGAATGTGTTACATTTTTTTTTTTGAGCTAGATGTTATGAAGTGGCGCATAAATATATGTACAGATCCACGCACACACACATGTTAAACAGCCACATATGCTTTACATTAGCACTTGTTTACAATTGCGTAACAATACCAACAGCAACGTGGATACTAGCAGCTCCAGGAGCAATAAGCTGACATGAAGCAATGGTGTTTGTGCTGGTGCGCGCGATGATGGTAACCCTCAACACTGCTACACAAATCAACTTCAGCGGATGGCGCCCAACTACACCTATGTTAACCCGACATGATGGCTGTATCATAGGAGTACATATGTAGTATTTATAGAATTAGATAGGCAGTACTGCAACCTACAATTAACGTTGCACAAAGCTCTATTTGAAAAATATATCCGAGGCCTGGCATGCTCAGTGGTAGAATACTTCATTGCAACAAAGAATGTTAGGGTTCGATTCCTGCTGGGATACCGACATTTATTGTTTGCATTCGTCCAGTCAACGCTGCCTACGGCAGCTTTTTCTTTTTAACGCTCAAGCGTTACAGGGGCCCTGAAACACTTTTTTTAAGCAACCATGGAATTAATTCACCGAAAAAGAGTATTACCTCACAAATTGAACGCCGCATAAATTTTAAGAATTCCAGTACGAGCGGAGTTACAAAAATTTGTCACACGCTGCAGTCACATTCTCTCTTCTCCCGTCCCAATGAAAGCGCCCCGGGACCTTGAGCATTTTTTTTCTTTTTTTCTTTGAATACCCAGCTTTTTCAGTGTGATCGCACGTGCGGGCAAGTGACGGCCTCTAGCGGCGACTTCTGTAACAACCGAGTGCGCCATGTTCAAATCAGCCAATGGCTGATAGATGGGCTTACTGGGCTTATTTTCCGTGATTTGTCAAGAGAAGAGAAAGCTATTTTTAGCTGACTTTGATAATTTATTGTGAATTCCAGTCTACGTGTATTTGGCTCGCGTGTTGTCGGGAGCCTCTACTACCGATTCGCAGCCTTTTTTGAACATGCTCAAAAAGTGTTGCAGTGCCCCTTTCAAGTAACCCATGTATCTTCTCGCCATTCCTGGGTAGATATAAAATGTCTATCACCTGTGGCACATATGCACATACTAGTGGCACATACCCGCCGGGTGATTGCCACTGTTTTTTTTTTTTTTTTGAAGTGTTTGACGGTGTAGGTGACGAGATTGTGACATTATTTTTTTGTCATGACCAGCAAGTCGTCTTCATTAAACCATCTTATCCTTTTGTACTAATTTTGGTGCACCCTAAGTTGAGGGGGTGATCATGGGAGCACCCAGACGTAGGCAGCTAGATAGATAGATCGACACACAGATAGATGTCAAATGTGCTTACAGTATGCAAAGAAATGTTTCACATTTAAAAATCTTTACAACAGGAATACACTAAAGTTCACCATAGAGAAATTATATGTGAAATCATCCTGTTATCGAACTTATCTTTCTCTCTCTCTCTTTTATTATTTTTTTGCGCTGCTCTTTATATTCAAGGCGTAGGCAGTGCTCTTGATTAAAGTTACCGTAAATGTTTGGTTTTGCAGCAAAGATTTGTGAGTCTAGCTGCGATATAAAATTATTTGCGATTAGCATTTGTTCACTTTGGTGAAAAATTATTTTCATCGCTGTTTCAGTTCTTTGAACGGTTCCACACCTACGAATTCACCTCGGAAGAGATAGACGCCATTTTCGAGTCATTCGTATGGCCTCAGGTGAGTAGTACTTTTAAGGAATTGTCATAGACTCCAAGCAACAATCTCATGCTTTGACAATGTTGGTCTGCGCGTTTACTCCGCAGTTGCCTCGTTTGGCCGAGTTGGCTGGAAAGCAAAAGCCCAACCCTTTGCTCAAGTTCTTCCTCACCCTGAGTCGGAATCCAAGGTAAGGATTTTTAAGTTGAAAGCATCAGATGGCTCAACAAATGTGAAAATCGGCCGTAGGCATCAACGTGAGAGATGCAGAAGTCATCATGTGATGTCATCACGACGTCGCATACCATGTCATTCATTACGTGATTATGTCGTCATAATCATGCCCTATGACGTGATCATGACATTACAAGTTTCCAGATGTCATCATGTCATCCCAAATTTCGGCAACTTGTCATGTCATGGTCACATCATAAGGCACGAACACTTGTGATGCTATCACAACATCGCATACCATGTCAATACATAACAATGTTGTCAAGATCATGTCCTGTGACAAGATCATGACGTCACAAGTTGCCAAAATTTGTGATGTCATCATGACATTTATTTCACATTATGTGCATATGACATCACATAGTCGAGGCTGATGCCAAAGGAGCTTTCGATGCCTTGATCTGGAGACAACGCAAAACAACATTCGGTACGGAAAGCTTCCAGGGGGGATTAGCACAATGGACAGAAAAAAAAAAGATTGTTCTCTTGTCTTTGAGTCATCTTCGGCACATTCATAAGGACCCAGGTGACTTTTATCATAACTACTCCGTGCCAAATATGTGCGAGGAAAATCGGGGAAGTGGGTCGCAAGGAAGTAGCGAGATGAATTTAGGAAACGTTCAACAAACAGTGATAAACCTTGACATTTGTAGCTGCAAGATTGCACCAAAGCTGATTTTATTTAGAGCAAGAGGCTAAACTTGACAAGTTTCAAAATTTTACTGTCTCAGCTCGGGAAAAGAGCAGATGATTGATCTTGCTGCTTAAGCATTCAAAGTTACTTCAGTGGCTTTAATGTGCTTCGTCTATCTAAGCTTAATTAGTGTTCTTTCTTTTCCAATTCCTTCTTAAGATCTGTCTCTAGAGCCTCTTTTGCTTTTTTTCTTTTCAACAGGTACTTCGTGCTGTTTGCCAAGTACAAGGCTGACGACCCGAGCCTGTCTCCGCTGCCGTGCCTCGCCTCGCTGCTGAGCAACAGGGACATCTCACCGTCCATCCTGAAGATGCTCCTCACGATCATTGACAACATCTTGACACTTCGCGAAGGCGACGGCGACGATGACGCAGAAGGTGGCAAGCGAGCGCCGCCGCTGGTGGTGTGCCACTGCTTTGACGTTGAGGCGCGCCGCTCTACTGCTGGTTTACCTGGTGAGTGACGCCTCGACTTTCTTCAGTGGTGTAGCCAGCATGTTATTTCCTGGTGGAGTTTACCCCACCTGGGCCACTGGTTTTTTAAGTTTAGTTTTTAAAGTGTGTCAGAGTGGACGATGCACTCAACGATCAGCAACAAGGTTTACGATGCAACCGTTAATTTCCCGCACCACATGTCCGACTCTTTACATCCCACTCTTTCCCCTTCCTCGCCCCTTTGTTGTTCACTTGACCCTTGTGCCATCTCGTTCCTCTACCATCAACCACATACAACCTCTGCGACCTGCACCTAACACACGCACACTCCTCACATTTTCATCTCTCACAAGTACTTTCTTTCTATGTCAGTTATGCTAGGGCATCTCTAGGGATGTAGCTGTTATTCATGATGCTCCTGTGCCTATTTCCTTCTTTCTGTGGCAAAGCGAATCATGCATCACATTTTAACGCAATAGCGTTAAAGAACCTATTGGTTGGTTGGTTGCGAAACTTTATTGAGGTCCTGCAAGGCGCGCGTCAGCGCGCAGCGGGCGACTCCCACGTCGGGACCGTTAGGCCAAGCCTATCGGCCGCTCCGCGGGCCTGCTGGACGGCCCAAAATTGGTCGGCCAGGAGGGAGCTGCGTAGGGCCGCCTCCCACCTGACCGATGTAGTGTTGGGGTTAGTGTACATTGCCTTGCACTCCCAGAGCATGTGCGCCAGCGTGGATACATCCCCACATGCGGGGCAAGCGTCATTGGGAAACACGTCCGGATAAATAGCGTGAAGGGATCTCAGGTTAGGGTACGTGTCAGTCTGCAGTAGTCTGAGCGTAAGGGCCTGTGGCCTATTAAGATTTGGATGAGGGAGTGGATATAGTCTCCGCGCGAGGTAAAAATATTTTGTTATTTCGTTGTACGTGGCAGGCGCGTCCCTGTTTTCCGCAACCCCGTTGGCCCCGAATCGTTGCCCGGAACCCGCGCGGTCGGTTAGTGCGCGCGCGGCCTCGTGGGCGTTAAAGAACCTATTTCACTAAAATTTCAGTGTCGGCGGTGGCGTCTTTGGTTGGAGCGATAAAGCAGCTTTGGCTGTGAGTGAAAATTCAGGGTAGATGCCAATGAAGATAAGAGCCGGAAGATGTTTGCAAGTGGGCTTTTCTCGCGGCACTGTTTAGTTCGCCACTGAGAAGCAAGAGGTCGATATGGATTGAGAGGGTGATAGTGCGCGTGAATGCGTGCAGATATTGCAGTTACATTCAACTCTTGAAAGTGAAGCTTAAAGGTTCCCATGTTTTTTTTTTTTTTTATCATTTGTTCATTGTGAACGTTGAACTTGCATTTTGCAGTTTGAATAGTTTCACAATTGCTTCTATGTATGATGCTCTGCAACTGTCTGCTTTTAAATTGCTGAAAATAATTTTTGACTCCTTGGTAGCAGCCTAGGCCAGTGGCGTCAGCATTAGTCTCTCATAATAAATAAATAAAAGTGGCACCAGCAGCAATGTTAAATAAAGACGTCAAAAGCATAAATTGTGTGCGTCAAATTTTGAAGAGCTCTCGCATGTACACCGGCAATCAATTTCCATCTCTTTCTTTGCCACAGAACCACCAGATGGTGAGCACAGTTACGGGGCACTGCTGATGTTGCCGTACGTTCCTCACACACTGCACAGGCTGAAAGCGGTTGTGGAAAGTGCTGTGAAAACACAGAAGCCCCTGTCTCCTGTTGAACTGAACATCCTGCTGAGGCAAGTGCTGGCCCCTTTTACTACCTTAGACACTGTTTTACTTGATATCTGTAGACCTGAATAACATTGACATACCGTATTTACTCGATTCTACCGCGCCCTCGATTGTAACGCGCACCCATTTCCACCGTGAAAAAAAAAAAAAAAAAAAAGTAAGACATCAATTGCAACGCACACCCATTTTTCTCGCTGGCCCGCATGATGACACCACTCGAAAAAACGACTCCTTTCTGGAGCGTCTTCCATTTAAATATGAGGTACAGGCGAAGCTTGTGCCCATCTGATGTGTAACAGAGCATTGCCGTCACTGTGGTTTTACCATGGACTGATGTCAGCTCGCGAACTTGCTTCGCCCCCTTCTTCTCGACGGTTGTGGTGCCAGGCATGTCGAAGTAAAGAGGCGTCTGATCGGCATTCCCGATTTGCCCAAGCAAATAGCCGTTGTTGCGCCGCAAGTTTAGGACGAACCTCTGAAAACTGTGAAGCTTTTCATCGTACTCCTCCGCAAAACTTTTCACATATGCATGTTCCCCTTCGGAGGAAAAAGCCTTTCCTCTTCATAAAGTTAAGTTAGCCAGCACCTGCTCGCTTTAAACTGGCTCCACATTAGACCTTTTTCTAAGACTAATTGCATAGCCCGCACTTGGAGTAGTTCTGCTCGTCAGGGGCCGCTGTGCCGCTCGCTGCTCAAGCACATACTCGTCGAGCAGCTCTTTAATTTGCGGAAACCGACCCTGCTGTGGTCCACAGAAGCCTTTGCGTGAAGCTTTGCTGTCGACAATCTTCTGCTTTTGTTTCCGCCGGTCCCGCACGCACGTTTCGGGAACTCCGAACGACCGCATGCGGCCCTATTTCCGTTCGTTTCTGCAAACGCGATGACTTTTCTTTTAAAAGCGGCATCGTGGTGCACTCGAGTTTTGGAAGTCGGCCCTTCCACGCCGTCGATTCTAATGCACTACTAGATGACGAACTCCTCAGCACACGTACGAAGTGCCGCACATGGGAAACACATAGGCAGAAATGGCCGACGCGCCATGCCAACGCACGTAGGGGGCGGCCATTTTGGATTTGCCGATGGCAATAGATTGACCGTAATTTTTTTGTTCGTACTCGATTCTAACGCGCATGCGATTTATGAACTCGCTTAACCAGAAAAAAGGTGCGCGTTAGATTAGAGTAATTACGGTATACACTCAAACCTCATTATAACAAAGTTGCATCTTGCAGCCAACTAAGTTTGTTATATACAGTCGAATCTCGATAATTCGAACTAGAAGGGGCCTGACAATTTGTTCGAATTAAAAAAATTCAAAATAATGAAAGCTAAGTGAATGGAGGGCTCACCATGCAGTTTATAGCTTGCAAAAAAGAAAAAAAAATCTAGCAATGCACATGCAATGACGTATGTGCATTGATCTGACTGAGCTAACACATGAGGGGGAAGTTTCAAAAGACTTTCATTTAGTCACAAATCACAGGACATTCACCATTAACTGAAGTAATCAATGATGCACGCATGCACACGCCTTGCAGCAAGTAAATCAATTTCGCACGCAGCTTGCAAAGCATTTCTACTTCAGCTTCAGCATTCTCCTGGCAAGAGAAGTTGCGCGCGGCAATGTCCAGTGCCGAAACTCTCTAGAGACGACGATAACGACTGCCTCTCTGCTACTACCCTCTGCGCCAAAGCCGCAGCGTGGCCAGCATGTGACGAAAAAGAAGGAGCGTCTCCACGCGGAGAGAAGCAGATTGGCATTTGAGAGAGAACGAACACTCCACAACAGCTTTTTTTTTTTCTCTTCGCGCATGTGGTTGAAAGGAGAAGGGTCTACGTGGCATGGGACGGGGAAGAGGGAAGTGTGGCACCAGCGTGTGAGAGAGAGCCAACACTTCGTAACAGCTTTGTATTTTTTTCCTCTCTCTCTTCGCGTATGGCATTGAAAGGAGAAGGGTCTTTACGTGGTAGGGACGGAAAAGAAAGAAGCGTGGCACAGGCGCGTCGCAGCTAGGTATTTGAGAGAGAGCAAACATTTCACCGCCGCCTTTTCTTTCCATTTGTGCGCAGCGTTGAGGTGTCGGGGGTTGCGCCACGGGATTGGGCGTGGTGGTGAGAGCATTTTTGGAGCGCGGTATGTTCGAATGAACCGTCGCAAGTGCTTGCGCGTTCGAATTGCAGGGCGTTTTCAGCCCATTAGAATACACAAAGATTTGATGGGACCTCAGTGCGAGTTCGCATTAACCGGAAGTTTGAATTAAGCGTGTTCAAATTAATGAGATTTGGCTGTATTTGAATATTTGTTAATATATTCTTAACACTATATTTATTGCAAGACTATTCTTAATTTATTTCTTTATAACTGGGTTCGTTATATTGAGGTTTGATTGTAGTTACTGGTATGGCCAAGTTGTAATAAATGCAACTAATTTTTCTCCACATGTCAGCTACATTGTTTCAACTCAGACTTTCAGTGCAGTAGTTAGTAACAAAGACAGGCGTGGCTGCTGTAATTGGGTAGGAAATTGGGAAATGCTCATGACAGCTGGCACGAACCGAACAGTTTTTTTTTTTTTCTCGTCTGTGTTTTGTTTGTGCAGTCTGTTATGAGTTGGGCTGCTATGTGGGGTATGCACCGAGCCTTGATCCGCAAGGGGGCAACACTAGTGCTGTGCTAAGGCACGTTGCAGGGCTAGTTGGTTGAGATTCATCATTTTCACTGGTATAGCGCACCACGACAAGGACACACACGCAAGGAGAGATGCACACACACACACAACCTTCAAATTGCTGTGCAATTTTGAAGGTCTGTTCGTACATGCCGTCCTGTTGTCCGGGCTTCAGCTTGTAGGAGGTGGTCTGGAGGCCTCAAAACATCCAAGTGGCCGTACGGATCTCAAACACAGCATGTGCAGCGAGTTTTTTGCACTTGTGGTGAGCACGGGGACCTCCAAAGTGGCGACGTCAATGCTTCGGTCTTTGCGTATGACGTCAGGTGCATACGATCCTATAACTGGGCAAAGCATTGGATTAGGCAAGTGGGTGATAGACCAGACCATAAGTTGAATTGTTATGCATTACCAGTTAGTCTGAACTAACTTTTTATGCCTCCTTGCAGTGGCACAGAATAGCTTTCAGTTTGTAGTCTTCAAAACATTGTTAAATTATACGTCACTGTCAGGCCATTGACTGCTGTGTGTTAAACTTGGGAACATGTAAAAGAGAGGCAATGGTAAGGGTGTCAACTTATTTCATTAATCGAACTGGAGTCGTAGCACTCCAGTTCGATCATATATGATCTTTGCTCCAATGGGGCCGCCCAGAAAGAGTCAAAGTTGTAACTTTTAAAAGATTATTATTGTAAATTGTTGAAATAATGAACTGTATCGACATGTCAATACAGGTATCGTCTGGGGTGGAACTGCAAAGCACATGTCAAATGTAGGAAAGTAAAATTAAGGGCTCATATTTCTTGTTAGACAAAATATCAATGAGATCTTACAGACAATAATGCCACGAAACACAGACAATAATGCCACGAAATGTATAGGGGATGTTATTAGAAGTAATAGCAATGTAAATGTGAAGAAACAAAAATGAAAGAAAAGATAACTTGTCACCAGGCAGGATCCCAATATGCGTTCGTTGTTATCAACAGATTGCATTTGATAAAAAAGTCTTACCACCCACACTAAGTCTGTCGGTGTTGGACAGTTATAAGCAAAATGATTAGGCTAATAACCAATTAACTTAATTTCTGCTTCTTTCAGGATAAGCGGCCTGTTGACGAACTCTCTACAGTGTGCAGAGTTGGCAAAGCTCTTCGTCGTCGGGTTCAAGAAGCTCCGAAGTCAAGCTCAGGTAATTTAAGCAAAAAAAAAAAAAAGAAGTAAAAAAATTTCGCTGGCATTTTCGTTGCTTTGATGTAACAGTGCAGTCGAGCAGCTGTCTATACACACAATGCTGTTATGCATGGACATTGTCACAGAGTTTGTCCTCAGATCTTTTTTTTCTTGTTTTTCAGGATTCTGATCAGCAAAAACTGGCAACCGTGCTCAACTTGGCCAAGGTTGCAGACAATCCGGACCAACTTTTGGGGTATGCCATAAAATCTTGGAATTTACACTCAAACCTCATTATAATAAATTTACATCTTGCACGAAAATAAGTTGCTAAATCCGAATATTCGCTATGAAGGCTTATTCCGAACACTATATCTATTGTGAAACTTTTTAAATACTCCGTTATAACCGATGTTTTGTTATTTCCAGGTTCATTGTATATCTGAGTGTATAATGAGAGAATTTCATACTTTTGTGGCATACTTTTCTGGCACGACACACTTGGGACATAAGCTAGTAGTAGCGGGTAGTCTGCTAAGGAGAAAGAAGAAGGAGTTGGAACAATGGCAGAGATGCATTAATAAACCGCGCTGTGTTTTCGTAACCGCGTTTCAGAGTGCTATACCTTTATGAGGAAGAGTTCAACTGTGTGAATCAACCAAGGCATCAACTGCAGGTTGCTAAACGTCAACTACAGGTTATGCTAAAGTGCTAAAGTATAGATAGCCAGGCTAATCCATACGGGTTCATGGTAATGTACGGCTTATGCCTTGAGCATTGCACATTTCAACCAGTGCATCGATAGTTGAAATGTGTTGCTGGCGGTGTTCAGCCACATTGCACCTGTGCTCATACTATTATGCTCCACCTGTGCTCATACTTTGTGGATTGCTAGTTTGTCATGTATGTAATTTCTATATGACTCAAATAATTTGTATATGACCTTTTTAGTGTTGGGTGTGATCATGGTAGTAACCTTGCATTTTACTGCGTCTTACTAATGGGCTGTTATTTGCAGTACTATTATTCCACAGTTACGTTACATCCTTTCGCAACGAACTTCTTTTGGGTCTCCCATACTGCTATTTACGAAGTCCCGCGAACATAACTCTGTAAAAGAAAAGAAAAAAAAAGAGGCATATAATGTAATGTTCTTTTTTTAAAAGTCAAGGGTCCCAGTGCCACCTTTGATGGCAGCATTCTTATAAGTGCAAAATGCAATAACAGTCCGTCGAGTTGCACAGTTTGCTGGTGGAGGACCATGCAGGTAACCGTAATGTATGTGTAGTATCGTGCAACGGACGCGCCGCACGGAGAACACAGGGCTCGGCACTGAAGCGCCGGCCGACACGAGGTACACAGCAGCCGTTAGCCAAGCAGGGACTCCTTTATTATATACAATGCCGCGCATATATACGCAGGGTGGCGCCCCCTGAGGGCGAAAATACTTTACATGGAACCGAAACTGGCAACCATGAAACAGAAACCGAAACACACCAGAGTTTGTAATAGGGATTGGTTAATACGGACCAGTGACTGCATTACATATGAGAGTTTTCAGTTCATAATAGCTTTACTTTAATACAATATGTGCTGTAAACAACTGGTAATACGGTCATCTAATTTGGTCCTCGATGGCTTCGTTCGTTGCTCCGGTGATATTTTATACAGTATTGAAAACCTTGTTCAGGGGATGGATGAACCAATGAGTCAGATAGAACGTAGAGTTGTCAAGGACATGTCAGTGGCTCTACTGGCAAGGTTATGTTGGTAGAGCTGTAATGACAAATGGTAACATGTTTCTTAGAAATAACGTCCTCTGCAAGTGCCCTTATTTCGCCGGTGGTCCTGTCAGTTGCAATGAAGACATTTTTTTTTAAACTCCTCGTGCAGGTACACCGCCGTTCTCTTCTCGGCTCTTGGCGGCCACCTGTCGAGGCGTCTCTTGTGCGACATCTACCGCGTTGTGGCTGAGCGTGTGCCACGCTTTGCCGAACTGGCGTCGTTCATTGCCAAGGTCAGTTGGACACTTGAACAGCAATCTCTTGCTCGCTTGTTTCACGAAACAAACAAGCCTTCCTGGAACCTCAGAATTTTTTCTGTATGTCTGTGCAGCTACTGAGTTGATGTAAAGTTACAAGAGTACCCAGCACAGTGGTCTGGTAGTTACCATGCGCGATTGCTGGTCTGAAGGTCATGGGGTGGGCTCGTTTTCGATGATAAAGGGGGGAAATGCTTAATTATACTTGGAATTGAGTGCAAAAATAAAGAAATTTGGTCGTCAAAATTTTCAGAGCTCTCTCCGGCTGAGTCCTTTATAATATTGGTGTGTTGGGGACGTGAAACCCGCACAATTGCTATATTGTTATCAATTTCAAAACTAACCTGCTGGACTGTTTGATTGATGAACAGCATGGTGGACAGCACATACCGTGAGACTACAAGAAAGCACACTTTTGATCCTTCTCGTCTGCACAGTGTGACAGTGGGAAAACCATCCAAATATTCCTAGTGTATGTGGCAAAACACTCAATTATACGGACTAATGATTGTATAACATATAACAGCTTTTGATTCGTATCGCAGTTTCACTTCAGTGCAATATATGCTGTAAACTACAGGTAATGCAGTCACCTAACTTACACAATATATCATACGATGTGCACAACTGTATTTGCTATTTAATAGAATTTCATATTCTCATGCAGTTGTTATTTCTTTCATATCAGTCTCTTTTTCAAACTGATGCACTCTCAGTCCCATTTATGTTAATGTGCTTGTTTCCTCTGTTGAATAATCAGTTTTACTGCATGCTTTGTTGTTTTTTATCTGCCAAGTTGATGGGGACTGCATTAGCTTGTTACAAGCATCATAGTTGAAACCCTTTATAAGAGGCATGATCCGGGCAGCATTTGTTCTACATATGAGATGTCTCTCATGAGCAGGGTACCTTGTATGCACTTTCTTGTCAACCCGTATTTTACTGTAAGCACACTGGTTTCTCTTATGACCATTCGTCCCTTATATGTAATGCCCAGTGCCTTGAGAGTAAATAAATGAAATGAAATGAAATCAGTGCCCCTTATAAAGGGGTTCTACTGTAATTGCTTGCATGTTCCTTCTTTTTGCACTTTTATTTACTTAATTTTTAAAATGTTTCTCAGGTGAACTCCTGGAATCCAAGGTGCGCAGATGAGCCAAATTACCAGACAAGGCTGGAGGGATTCAAGATGGCTGCTCCTTTAGTACTGGGGCAGAAGGAGAAGCCGGATGTTCGCATCGTGCTCGCTGTGATATACAACTGCACCTACACCATTCGAGCTGTAAGGGCAAATCACAGTGATTGTAGCTGCAACATCACATTGTGTGTTTTGTCATTGTCTTGAATAAGGACCATTACTTTATGTGTTGACACTATTTATGTATACTATACAGTGCATTGTTCTTTACCGCTACGCTCAGGTCGATGACCTTGCCCTGCGAGATGCGGCGTCCTTGGCCCTCGCTCAGATGGGCCCTGTGTTCCACACCTGGCTGACGGAGGACAAGGCAGCGTACGAGAAGTGTGTCACCGAGGCTCTGATGGGTGAAATCCGTCAAGGTCTGCGTGGAAAGGCTGAGGCGAGTTTTTACAAATTGAGACATTGTGGCCACAGGTGTTTGCACTGAGTACACTCAAACCTCGATATAACGAACCCGGATATAACGAAATACCGGTTACAGTGAAGTTAATCATGAATAGTCTTGCAATAGATTGTTTGAAATGAGAGTGCACTATGTAAACACAGTTTAGATAGACAAGGACAAGCGCTTGTCCCTGTCTATCCTGTCTGCGTCTACGTAGTGCGCTCTCATTTCAAACAATCATGTATCACCAATTCGCCCAATCAACCATATTGACTTGCAATACAGACAGTGTTGGGACTATACCTTTTATAACGAATATTTTTATATAACAAATATACTTTCGTGTAAGATGCGATTTCATTAAAATGAAGCTTGAGTGCAGCTGTGAGCAGCATGTAAGTGCCATGCAAACACTAGAACTCAAGCGTGCCATGCAAACAGTAGAACAGCCACTGCCTCGGCTGTTCCAGCTTAGTTCTTCGCACAGAAAGCTGACAGGCACTAGTGAAAGGTGTGGCTTTAGCTCTTGGCTTGTACAGCATGCATTGAAAAACTTTTTTTTTTTCGGTTTGCATAACCTTTAAATAATTTTTTTATGTGTTTGGAAAAGCAAACAAATCTTCCTATGTGGCTCTGCGTGAGTGGGAGTTTGTCTTAGCCAAGTTCATCTTAACGGGAGGTTGCTACACTGAAATATAAAAGTGTGAGTTTTACGTACACTGAAACCTCAATATAACAAACACAAATTTTACAAAATATTTGTTATAATGAAGTAAATAAACAATAGTCTTGCAATTGATACAATGTTAAATATAACCTTTATAATAAATGTTTCGATATAACAAACTTTTTTTCATGTAAGATGCAACTTCGTTATACAATAGAATCTCGATGATACATTCGAAGGGAGCGCATAAAATATTCGTATCAGCTCGAATTTGTATGAATTAAAAACAACTTAAAGCTGATAAAAATGATAGACAAGAACTTCATTGGCAACTACACCTTGCTGAAAAAAGTCTGTGATGTAACTTTCCTGCTTTCAAGGTCTCTTAATTAAGTGCCGCGGTTTCCTCGCTCATGCTGCTGGCGTAGCGCCTTCACAGTTGACATCAGAGCGAGCGAAAGCGCCAAACTCATTGGAAATTCACTCGCTTTCCTGCTTAAGCAGCCGAAAACCGTGCCGCGAAGTCGACACAAAAAGTAATGAGTCCTGGAGAATTTGCATTGGAGAATTAAAGCGAAAATGCAAGCGCGGCCGGAAAACCGTGTTCGCGCCCGCCGTAAACGTTGACATTCGTTCTGCCCCTCGTATACATGCCACCTCGGCCGCCGCCATCGCCGCTTAAGAATTCATTACATTTTTACCAATTCCTGAGCACTGAAGTTCGTATCAAGTTATAATTATGCATACAAGGCACTGAAAATAAACAGTTTACACCTTTACTAACGTTATTTCGCAAGGCACGCCAGCCGAAATGACAAGAGTGGACACAGCGGCGGCAACGGATTCAGCCGGCAGTGCAAAAGCAAGACGCGTTCGAGCAAGCCGACTCGCTGCTGCGGTACCTTCTTCTACTTCCGGTGTTATGAGCGGTCGTAATACAAACCAGGCTCTCAACGACCGCGTCCTTGTCGTGAGTTTTGACGTGCCGCTTTACTCTATGGCCGCGCGGGTAGTTCGCAGTAGCGCCGACGTGACCTACCGCCCATGCCTTCGCCGCCATGTTGATTTGCGACTGGTTGTTGACATCATGTGGTTTGAGAGATAGAGCGATAGTGCAGCCAGTGAAGCCAAAGCCGTGAAGCAAAAAGGCGAGACTATGCTATCGTGTGGGGAGAAAATTGGTCTCGGACCGATTTTCTCGCGGCGTGTTTTTGTCGCATTGCACCGCTGGCATGGAGTGGTCAATTGCACACTTGTATCATTTGCGGGGGCTGGGAAAACCATTCGTATAACACCGAATCACGGTGTATTTCACATAATGTAGTCCATCCAAAACAACCTTAAAATTCATATCAACGCGAAATTCGCATCAACCGTAATTGTATCGTCAAGATTCTACTGTAATGAAGCTTGAGTGTACAAGCAGAAGTCCACTTATGCGTTCATATTATCACCTAGAAAGTAATGTTGCTTCTGTGGGGTGTTGGCCAGAAAAATAAACACATTGTAATAATAAATTATGTGCTAAGTCGTATTCATGTGATTCCACTGTACTCGCATATCAGTAATGTAGGCCAGTGTCACCAGTGTTGGTTATCAAGATAATCAGAGGTTGTTAGAGGCAATTGAAGGTTATGCTAAGAGATTTATTTAGCCAATGCCTCCTCTATTTTATTCATGCCAGCCAGATGCACCCGGTTCAGCCATTCACCGCCCTCTCCTCTACCCTTTCCTGCTCTCACGCATCACCTAGCCTTCACGTGTGCTTTGCGTTCACGGATGAGAGAAACCCTCATACAGTGCCTCATGATCGAAATTATATGATCTAATTTTTGTTCAGTTGTGTATATAGCGTCGCATTCCTCATGTTCACTTTATTGGGGGTCATACTGGCTCTGTAAAAGATACGGTGTTTTGAGATAGCGTGTCGCTGTTCGTGGCGCTATGCTGGCGACCGATGGGGAAGCGTCACTGCAATGCTACTGCAATGCTACTGCATGTGCTGTGCTGTGATGTGGCGGTAGCATGGCTTCGAGCCACAAAGAAGGAGCACGAAGGAACAAATCGGACAGACATATGGTAATGGAGTGGGAAACACGTCTATCAAATCTCCAGGGTAAAGCGCTCGGAAGCACGTCTGACGCAAGCAACGCTACCCGTGACGTAGCGTCCCATCGCGACCGCTCCTTGAACTAAGGCACATTGACGGCTGCCGTTGAGAAGCGCGCGTTTGCACTGGCATTGAAAGAAATAAAGGAGGCGTTGATCTAGCATATTTACTGCGAATTCGCTCCTGAATGTTTTTTCCTGTTTCAACAGCCCAGCCGCCAGGAATTTGTGCGCGTGTTGTCGCAACTGCTGCAACACTGCAGCGAGCACCCATCCCTGACTGGATTGAGTCAGCTGTGCTGCAAGGAAGACGTCGAGCTCGACTTCTGGGAGAACCTATGCCACATACAGGTATGGTGTGCATTACTTTGGCATCCGATTTGCTCGTGTGAGGACACACCCAAATGGTGAAAATTTCGACTAAATTACAGTAAACCCTCGTTATAACGAAGTCAGCAGGACGGCAAAAAAATACGATATATGCGGTCATTCGATATATGCGGCTTCTTCATAAAAGCTCGGCAAGTAAATCTAAATTAGCTATCAGTTTAGTTTCAGTTTATTTCGGACATAGTTACACGACATGAAATATGTCCACGAGGCAAGGCAAAAGGAGACTCGTATGTCTCCTGACGAGGCCTTCACCCCGGACTTACACGTCGGACAGCCAGGAGCAAAATCAGAGAAAATAAGTACAATGCTCATTGCACAACTTATATAAACAAAAAACGAACAGTAAAAAACACATTCGGACAAAAATTATACAAAGTTTACATTGTTCAGGTTTAACAGTTTTATAAAGTTACATAAATATACAAAATTACATATTTTCGTGTTGAAAGCAAAATAATTGTAATTTCAAGGAGGCAGGAAAAGTAGCTTTACTTGTTTTTTAAAACGAGACATACTTGAGTTCTGATTAGCCAATTCGGTTAGGGATGGGTATGCATTCAGCAATGAAATAATCTGATAATCTATAGTTTTAGTACTATAATTAGTTCTTGGTCTTGATCCCGTCAATGAAATAGTGTGAAGGTCATATGCCACTTGTCTATTTAGATATTCGCTTGAGAACATGGTGCAATCACGTTTGAATTCGCGGAAAATCATTGCTGCCAACGAAAGCTGATATAACTCTGAGAATGGTGGTACGTTCAGACTTTTATACAGAGAGTCAGTTGATGGGGGAGGATGGGAAGAAATCATTTTTAGGCTCCTTTTTTGTATAGAGGAAACACGTTCAGCATCCGTCTTGTTGCACGTACCCCAGACTAGGTGACAATATGTTAAGTGGGAATGAATAAGAGCGAAGTACAATTGTTTTCTAACACGCAGCGGCAATAAATATTTTAGCCTGTATAACATAGCAAGAGATCTAGATAGCTTAGCACGAACATAATTTATGTGCTCAGACCAGCTGAGGTCAAACCTAAAAACGACTCCCAAGAAGCGGCAAGAGTTGACGGGCGTTATTATATTGTTATTGATACTCAATTCTACGTTATGAAGAAGTGGTTTATTTTTTGGGCGAAATATTACGTAGTGTGTTTTCTTTACGTTTAAGTTTATTTCGTTCACATTAAGCCAGGTATGAAGTTCGCTTAGCCAGATATTAACACGGTGCTCTAATAAATTTAGATCTGGACCAGAAAAGAAAACGTTAGTGTCATCGGCCTACATAGCAATAGCGGGAGTACAAAAAATGTTAGCAATATCATTAATATATAAAAGAAAGAGCAAAGGACCTAAGATAGATCCCTGTGGGACCCCAAAGTTTATCTTACCTAAGTCTGACTTTAATTCCTGAAGCTGTGTATATTGCATTCTGCCTTCGAGGTAACTCTTTAATAATGTAAGGGCCAGTCCACGGATACCATATGTCGTTAGCTTATGAAACAAGATTTGGTGTTTGATCGAATCAAACGCTTTTTGAAAGTCAAGAAAAATTCCGACTGTTAAATATCACTGTTCGAAATTACTAAGTATCTTTTCTTTTACCTGCAGTAGAGCAGATTCCACTGATTTTCCACATTGAAAGCCGTACTAGTGTTTCGAGATAATATTTTTAACTTGAATGAAATCATACAATCGTTTATAAATAATACGCTCTGCGTTTTTCGAAAAAAGAGGCAGTACCGATATTGGTCGATAATTATTCAGGTCATTTTTACTGCCACCTTTATGAATGACAGTAACACGCGCAACCTTTATTTTCTCAGGGAAAATGCCAGTCTCCAACATTCTGTTGCAGATATAAGTTAGTGGGGCAGAAATGTGACAGATAGCAGCTTTAACCGGCGAAACTCTGATTTCATCGTAATCGGGCGAGCACGTGTCTTTCAGTGCGAACACCGCAGATGCTATCTCTACATCTGAGGTAGGTGTTAAAAACATAGAATCCTTGTAGGCTGTAGGAATGTAGGAAATAGCAGATTTCGAAGATGATGCTACCTTGGGGCCAAGAAAAGCACCTGATGTCAAAAATTGCATATTAAACTGATTTGCAAGCGTCGTGCCAGAAATGGCTGTTTCATTTATGTGTAGTTCAGTAGGTCTACGGGGTCGTTCAATTTCTATAATTTTGTTAACAGCACCCCAAAGCCGTTTAGGGTTATTAATTAGCGGTGAAATATTATTTTGATAATATGCATTTTTTGCCTTCTTTAGGTCCAAGCTTAATTTATTCCTATACTTTTTAAACGCGACTAAATCTGCTTGACTCTTTGTTTTCAGGAAACGAGCGAACATGAAGTCTTTTTCTTTAATGCGTTTAAATAATGACGGTGTGATCCACTCTTTTCTAGCTTTTCTGTGCTTCTTAACCATAACACGTGGAAAAGCGTAATTATAGTTCTCACTGATTTTTTGAATAAAGATATCATAGGCTTTTGATGTATCAGATTCGCGGTACAATTCATCCCAGCTAGTTTCACTCATTAAAGAACAGAAGTTCGTAATGCTAGTGGGGTTTATTATCTGACGCGTGTAATTAGATTTTGATACTTGTTTTTTTAGGGCGAACAGAGCAAAAAATGGCCGATGAAAACACACCAGACACTATGTTTTCCGGATGAAAACTTGTAATTACAACAGACATCAAGCAATGTGGCAGATTGTTTAGTGACCCTTGTGGGTTGATTAACGACATTTTCACACCCATAAGACGACATTACCTCAATCAGATTTGTTTTAACATTGCTGTTTGCAAGTAAATCTATATTTAAATCACCAAATATTATCACATTGCATTTGTTGAGAGCAGCAAATTCCAAAAAACACTCAACAAATTCTAAAAATGCTTCTACTTTACTATGAGGAGGACGATATAATAAAAGAACAGCGACCTTGTTAGTAACAATACAAATTGCTTCATAGGCATCATTGATAACAGTAAACTCATGAACAATGTCATAAAGCATGTTTGCTTTTACATACAGGGCCACACCACCTCCCCGTTTATTTTCACGGCACATAGAAATGTTGTTGTAACCAGGAAAATGCCTGACATCCATATTTGGTCTAAACCACGTCTCTGTAAAGCCAATGATGTCAAAGCAGTATTTTAATATTTGCAAATTTGGCTCACATTCCTCTGCTTTGTTTTTAAGGCTTTGCGCGTTTAAAAGGTATAGGGAAAGGGTTCCATTTGGAGGCTGACTATCATTGCTTATTAAGTTATTAAAGAGGTCTGCATCAAAGTACGACGTCATGGCTACTGAAGATTACAGTCACTTCTTGCTGCTCTTGGCAGCAGTTCACGAGATCTTGGCTACATCGTCTTCTGAGGCGATCCTTATCGCATGGGCGTTAGGTTCTTTTCTTGCAAAGATCCTGCCCTTTGAAGACCACACGAAGCGATAGTTTGCTTCTCTTGCTTTTTCTTTAGCAAGCCACAGCAATTTTTTGTTCAGGGCCGTCAGATTGGGAAAAAAAACGAATATTGTCTCCAATGTCTTTCAGACTACCACGTTTTGCAAGCCAGGCATCTTTGGTAGCCAACGCATGAAAGCGTATTAGTGTAACTGGCACTTTGTCTTTCTTTTGGCCAAGCGGAAGACGATGGAATGTTTGAGTTATTGTCGCTTAAGGGTGGTAATCCAAGCCTTTGAGCAAGGTTGTCCAGTTTTTCATGAAGGTTCTCGTTTTCGCTGTAGGGCAAGCCATGGACCTCTAAGTTGTGGCGTCGGCTATACTGCTGCAAATTGTTCAATTCTTGCTTTAGTTTGGTTATTTCTTGTTTTTCTTGGCTCTTTTTGACAGCATCGACTCTTTTTTGAAGGCTCTGAATGTCCTTCTCATGTCTTGTAGATACTTCAAGCAACTTATCATGCTTTTCTGAAATGTATTGCGCTGATTTTTCAATGTTTGCTACTGTTTGTTTTAGAATGGATAGGTCGTCTACTTTTGTTGTAAGTATGGCCAGGTTCTTAGTTATTTCACTCAGTTGCTTGCTGAGAACTGTCAGCTGCGCAGCTGACTGTTTATCGGTGCTAGAGTAGCTGCGAGACGCAGATATACAACATGTGGGACATTTCAGTTCCCTCCTCACATCTTCATTTTTACCCTTGTACACGCGTTCAGTTATCCCGGCACATTTCCCAAAATGGTAGTTTTGAAGTGGTATTCACAGAAGTGGTATTCAATAAAACCAACCTCTATTCACGCACAAAAGAAGTCAGTCAGCTTACTTTGTTGGGTGCTTCGGCTGAGCGTGAGAAGTGCCTGCTCCAATTTGTTCAGGCAAATTAAGAGGTCATGGTCGTTGCCCGTGCACTCCACTCTATCTCGCAATAGATGGAGGCTTTCCTGCGTTTGTGGTAGTGTTGGTACAGCAAAACCTCGTTACATCGAAGTCAGTGTGGCCGTGAGAAATCTTCGAATTAAGCAAGTTGTTGAATCAACGGAACATGTGGGATGCAAGGAGCTTGCGATTATTCGAAGTAATCAGGGCTGATTGTTTGCGGCTCCAAGGGTAATGTTTTCCCGCAATACCTGGTCTTAACTTTGCCGCAAAAACGGAGGAACGGTGGGCCTCATTGCTGCCACTGAAAAAAAAAAAAGAAGAAGAGACAAACCAAATGCTGTCTTAATAACCTGAAATGTGCGCCTATGGAAAACAAAATGTGCTTTACTGCACAGTAGTGACACGTGGCCAGCTTGTCTCCTGCTCCTCGCTGCGTCAGCACGTCATGATGTGACTATTCGCCCATGCTTTCTGGTAGAATAATTTGATAATGGCGAGTGTGACGAAATTCGCGATATGTTTTGGTTTCAAAACATGATCATCGAAGCTTTCAAACTTATTTTTTGAAGTAGGCGTTGCAGGCAAGAACTCCGCCAGCTGTGCAAGT